CCCCCCTTTTCCACCGAGGACCAATCATCGCGAAGGGATTAGATGGTTTTTGGGCGTGTGGCACCGCAAGATCTTTGTCATTGAACTTGAAAAAGAGCCGAAGAACGGAGAACGGAGAACGTGCCCCCGACAACTGGTGACTCTACCCTTTCAACGCATTTGGGCAATCTGACATGAGCACGCTGTTTCGGAGTTTCCAAATATAAAACAAACTCATCCCGATCCGAACCCTTTTCCCCCTATATCTTTTTATCTCTCGCCTGTTGCATCATCTTCATCCTCAACGAGTGTTTTACCCTCGTCAAACATGGAGGACGAGCTCTCAAATTAACCACCAATAAAAAGGCAACACTTCATAAAATAAAAAAGGAAAAAAGGGAAACAACTTCCGTTTTTTCATTGTTTCCCCTCGTGATCTCCTGATCCCTCGCCTGTTGCTCCCTCGGATTTTTTTAGGCTGTTCCGTAATCGAGGAGTCGTTAGGTAAACACCCTTAATTTGATTTTTAGCGCCACTTAACATGAGGGCACTTTTTTTATCCATACGTTATGCATATGGGGTGAGTTCTTTTTACCCGACAAACGGGGAGGGTAAAAAATACTCGCACTACAAAAAAGTTGACATGGTAATTGGTGTATCGGATGTTCGAAATGAAGCCATTATTATGTAATTACCTTTTATCGGAAATGACTGGGGAAGGGAGTTGTTGAGGGGATAGAAAGGGCGTGGTTTTTTGTGGTTGCGATCGCATTTTTTAAGGGGAGTGTTTTTTTTATTGGCCTTCATTATCGGTTTGTCGTTGTGGATTCAGATTTGAACATTGCTGAAGTATACAAATTAAATTGCAACTGTATTAGTAAAATTATATTATAACTTCAAATTTTTAAAAGCAAAAATAAAAACTTAATTTAAATAATCTTAATAGAATACGAAATCCAACATTTCAGAAATCGATGCTATACAATTCCTAGATCTTTTAACGTATTTTTGCCATCATCTGCTCCTGACTGACTGAGCCTTTGTCCGCATAATGAATTCATCACATCAAATGCTGATCCTGGCTGCGATCGCAGGACCCGTCGATTGCCGAACAGAGAACAACCCGACAATTGAAATCCAACGAGCGGAGGAAAATGCACAAAATTCAAATGTCATTCAAATAACGGCTGTCAGGACAATGGCCACGCACGCGGTCAGGATCGTAGTGGGAGTAGAATAAGGATATACAGCCGAAAGGTGGATGAGGTCCTAGAGAAGGATGACGAGGAGTGGGAGAGGCAACAGCAACGCCTGCTTCTCATTTCAGGACCTCAGTAAATCTCTCTACTTCTCATTCTGCTTCAAATACACTCGGAGAAACCACCAAGTTTAAAAACAACCAATTTTGACAGAAAATATTATAATAAATTATGGTATATACAAATATTTTTAGAAGCAGTAAGCTAAACTTCTTGGTATGAATTCTAACATTCTATCCTGGCAAGTAGGACCCTGATTTTTTCGGGTGTATCGCAATATCCTGGCACAGGATACATGTGCGTTTATTGTTATTACTTTCGAGTTGCATCCGGTTTGGCCTCAGCTGACTGACAGCCAGCGGCCGACGGCTACAAAAACAATCGGGATTCAGGATTCAAGCCTCCAGTCAAAGGCGACGATGATGAGGACAAAGTCGGACTGCCGGGTGAGCCATCGACTTCCTCTCCGCCGCCAAAAAAAACCACAGCAGAGATCAGATCGTTCCGTTCATGTTTCTGCCCCGATAAGCGTGACATTTTCCTACTGCCGGCGATCTCAATCTGAGCTCTCAATCAGAATTGCGATTCCCCAGTCAACCGAAGGTCTATTCATCCATTGATTGCAGCTTTGCCATTTTTGAGGCCAATCACACGCCGACGGGATTAGCAGAAGTGCTGTTTTTTATCCCGGCTAATTGGACCGATCCACTCTTTGTCCTCCTAAGCGGACAGCCATGAAATCAGAGTCCGATCATCCGATGGGCCAGATATGATACATTCGCCTCGAAGTCCGTTCTTATCTGGCTTTCTTTCTGGAACAGCGTGCAATTGGCGTTAAATTTGAGCTGACATTTAGCTTAAGGACTGACGAGAAGGACCTTTAACCTTGATCTTGGGTTTAAAAAGGTTATGAGATGGTTCTACTTAAATTGCTAGAACATTTTTATTATACTTTTACTTATCTTTAAGTCTATGAACAAAACATATTGGGGTATATTTGTTACAAGTTTCTCTTTTGCAGCTGTCAAAGGAGTACGCATTCCCTTCACTCCAATCCCTTTGGAGCACAACAAATTTCTCTGGCTGAGAAATTAACTAAGAACTACCAGAAATTAGGGCATTACTCCATAACTCGCCAGTCGGGAGCCAGGGCAGATGTCAAGCTGCTAAAGATCACACTAAACACAAATATCGCCCAAGGAGCTCAACTCATTTGAATGGAGGGGTCTCGCTTCCATAGAAAGCAAACAAATTCCGACCCTCGAGTCCCAAAGGAGCAGACATAAGAAAATCATTTGCGGGGAGGGGGAAGGACTCCATGGGATCAACCCTGAGTCAAATGCCAAGAGTCCCCTTTGGAAAATCTGAATCTGAATGTCGCGTGTTGGCGCGCAAGATTTGTGTTTTCCGGGGTCGCCGTCTCGGAAAAATCGGGGTCACACGAGGGTCGGGGGTCGGGACTCAAGGCATTATAATAGGCTCATTTCCTTGCCTGCTCCTTTGGCTCCTGCTTCTCAGAGCGTAATAGCGTAAACATTTAACGGGAGCGTGCGCTGCGCACGCGCAACATTGCCTCACCCTTGATCCTCGAGGTCCTCCTCGTCCTGTGACCCTAACCTCATCCCGATCCCAATCTCCGCGCTATTGTTTGATTTCCTTGAGGATTTGCGCGTCTTATGATTGATTCAGTGTTTTGTAGCGATTGTTGTTCCCATGATTTCTCCATGTACACGATCACAATCTTGTGGCATTTTCCATGGAGCATGATGAATCATTGATGCGTTTTCGTGGGTGCAACGTCTTAGTGGTCAAGGGTTTGGGACTCTCTGTTTGACAAATATTCAATTGATCCTCGTATTAACGGTCGATCGGAAGAGAAGAAATGAAAAGCTGTAGCGAATGAAAAATTTCTTTTAATGGTGCAGCAAAAAAAAGAGTAATTTCACAGCAATCGGAACAGATAAATTAATATAATATAAAAAAAAATAACTTAATAATTGATACTTCTACTCAATCATTTATGCGCTAACAAAAATATTTCTCTTTTAAATATGTATCCTTTTTTTCTGTGTTGCAACACAAGACTCCTCAGCAACAGCAGCAATGCATGATGCATGTGGCACATTTAACACCTCCAATTCATAATGAATGAGTTAAGAGCATCAACAAACCAAGCACTAACATATAGTCGGAGGACTACCGAACAAGGGACCGCGATCTGGGTTGGGACTCCAGTCTGGGATGCCATCGGAGGTGCTTGTTCGCCACGCCCGCATCTTGCAGGACATGTGTTAATCAAGCGGCAACCTCAGCAGCGCATAACTCAGTTGCAGATGGACTAATTTTTGTGTGAGTCGGGTAATAAAGGAGGGGCATACTCCACACAGCTGCCCAAAGGACTAAAAATAGTCGATGGCAAGGTGCAGGCTGCGTTACGATTTATGTGACAGAATTCTCATGTTTGCGCTTAATTTTCATTTAATTTTTATGGGCGCCAAAAGATGTCAGACGGCTGCTGCTTGGATACACCAAAGGACCCAGCCAATTTTGGCCATTTATCCTGGCAGTATCTACAGTTTGAAACAATGATCCTGACAAAGAAGGTAACATGAGCTAAAAAACCAATAGAAGTAACAATAAGTGACAGGCAATCGGAAGAAGACAAACAAACGAAGAATCCAGAGAAAAGCGCAATTGTTGCCGAATGACAATTGAATGCAATCCGGAAATGTCCTGCGCGGACAAGGATCGATGGCCATCACCCAAGTGGATTTTTTAAGGAGCTCAAAAACCGAGTAAAAGAGAGATCTACTCAAAAAGAATCGGAGTTCTCGGGAGAAACACAAATCAACCCCTAAATGAAGACTCAACTCAACATACTTTGAGTTAGGATCGTTTTGCAGGAGAAAACTCGGTTGATATTGAGTGAATATCTCTTGAGATGCGTTTCCATTGATTTCTAGACCCCAGGAGTTTTCCGCACAGGGCCAAACTTGACCCCTAAGACGACCTCAAAGGTGAAAGATGAGAGAAGCGCGCGCGTTGCTCCTTTTGTGCATCCTTCGAGTTCGCATCCTTCGGGTCACCTCCTGACCTTTTTCCCTTGGCACCCGCTTGCTCTTTGTCCTTTGGCCGGGATCGTTGACAAAGGGCCTGGGGCATTGCAATAAATGTGATAAAGATTGTTTTTTGTCTTTCTGTGCAATTGCTTGGACTTCGTGCCATAAATTGCCCGTAGACCGGTGATCGCCGATCGCTGACCGTTGATCTTGGATCGTTGATCATCGACTAGGGGTTTCGTTTGCACGGAAATACCCTGAATGATGCCTTAATTGTGGGACAAGCAGCTGAAACTGACGGTTTCCCTCGAACTGCCCTGCAATTGTGGGAGTTTAACGCGTGTTTTCCTCCGATCAAAGGTTTTGCCTTTGATTGTGTGACGCGTATTTAGGCGCTAGTTTTATATCTTACACATGTAATGCCCTAATTTATTGCTGGATCCTTCGGAAGTATTGAAGGGCAGAAAATCGCATTCAAGAGATCTATTTGGAAAGTTGTTGTGGAGCAACTAACCCTTAAATTCACTCCTTTAAGCTTTAGCTAGTTTTTGGGCATCACAGTTATTAGTTGTAAATAATAACAAAGCAAAGAAAGCGAAGCTAATCAACTTATCCGTGACAGTTTGATTTTTTTCTTCACCATTTATTTGCATTTCCACAAAAGTCAGTTAGCTGAAGAGCTAGAACAAATCTAGTTGCTCTAATGAAGGGTTTCAAGCTATTTTTAAAAATTATCCTTATAACAAGGCTTTTAAAGGTTGGTACGTATGCTTCTGTATTTTAGACAAAGGTAACAGTGCTTAAATTCCATTTAGAAGCAAAAGGGTCAACAAGATCGTTATCTGAAATTGTAGAGGAAGTAAGTTTTTTATTATTATCAATTAGTTACTTTATAAACATTGTTTTATTCCAAAGGAATCATTGTACAAGATCGATGCCAAGTATACAACCTTGCTTAATGAGATAAATTCAACTTTTTTCAATAGACCCCTCAATACAGCAAACAATAGGGAATTCGAGACAAAATTCCAAATGGTTCTTACCGGTTTGAGCTTAAGCATTTATGACTTAGCTGATAAAATTGATATTTACACAGATTTCTCGACTTATAATCAAATTCGATTGGAGCTCGAAAGAGAGATTTTCAAAAAATTACAAACCGCGGAGCGTCTGCTTAAGCTCAAAAACCTTATACCCATATGTCGAATCTTTTTTACGAACCAGCAAGATGAGCTGAAGGCAAGCTTCAAAGAGTCAAACTTTATGAAACTGGAAATACTAAATAATCCGAGTCCCGATTGTGAGAGTGTTGAATTCCATAAAATTACCATGCCCGCAACATCACTAACTACTACAACGCCAAGTACAACGTCAAGGACAACGCCCAAGCCAATCAACTATGATGAACTGCTGCAAAATATCCTCCTAAAGTATAACAAACGGCCGTGGGGAAATCGAAAGTACCCGGACTTCGATAAAAAAATCTGGGTTGTGTTAATGGCCCTAAATAGCGAAGAAAGAAGTCATAAGAAAGAGACGTACATTACTTTTCAGGCGTACGACGATGATCGAGAAAAACTGGATAAAGAATTGGCAATTCGAATTGGAAAATTCAAAAAGCGAATTGAGAACGAATCAAATGCTGATTGCAAATCCGACCTTCTATACTTGAACAAGAAGTTGGCTCTAAACATGTACAAAACCTTAGACGAAAAAAGAGCTGTCTTAGTCTCCACAAACTTTGTGCTATCATGTGCTCAAAATTAATACGTTTTGATCACTATTTAAAGAAGATTTAAATGATAGTAGAATAAGATAAGAAAATCTGAGGGAATCAGAGTTTATCAACTTTTTTTTAATGTTATATACAAGTTCTTTTTACAAACTTAGAACTTCTTAAGACATTTGTTTCTTAGCTCCACCTTAATATTTTTATAAGCTATAAATTCAATATTGTATATCTATTTTTTGTCTCGTTGACTGGCTGCCAGCTGCTTTCGAAGTCGCGCTTGGGCCTCCACTGGCCAGGTTTTGAGCTTTTCTTGGCCGCATGGTAAGCAAAAGGTGGCAGTGTAGTAAAAACTGCAGGCGGGATCCTTGCACACCGTCTTCGAGCAAATGGAGCACTTGGCGCCCAGAGAGACGTAGTATTCCGCTTTCGTCTGCCAACGAGGCGGAGGTGGCTGGAAGGGATCTCTCATCACGTAGTTATCCTCCGGATACTTTATCCCCAGAGTAAATGGCGGTTTCCTTCCGAAATAGTGAACCATCTCGTGCATTTCGCAACCGGAGCAGAGGAATTCGATGCGTGCTATTCGTTCATCATCCTCTTCGGGGTCGGTAGGTTTCTTTTCCTCTTCGGGGAGCTTTAAGCGCTCGATCTCTGCTGCCTCGTTGTCCAGGACGAATTCCTCATCGGCCTCCATTACAATTACTGCAAGACCAACAGAGAAACAAGGAACTGCACAAACTTTGGTGAGGACTAGTTACGTTTACTACACTAACAACAATATAACTAATGGCAAAATAACAAACAGCGGCTCAAATCAGCTGGTGGGTCATTCAGCGAACGCCAGACGACGCTTCCCGGGCAGATCCTCCGGCCACCAATCCGGCCGTTCGGCATAGCAGCGCTCGCCATCGATCATCAGTTCCGGACGGCCATTCAGAACCTTCTCGATCCGCAGCAAGGCCACTCCATGATTGTAGGCAGAGCCAAACACTCGACCCAACTTTGCTCCCGCCACGGATGTGACCTCGTGGTTGGAGCCCGCATCGATTGGAGCTGTCAGTCGAATGGGCATGTAACGCTTGCGGATCACACCCGAGTGATGGACGCGGGCGGTCAACTCCTGGCCCACATAGCACCCCTTGTGGAAGCTCACACCATGCAAATAATCCACATTGGCTTCTAGCGGAAAGCATTTGCCCGGAGGTAGTTCCAGGCTGCCCTCACCAACTCCTTGCTTGTAGCGCAGCAATTGGTAGTTGCTCTGCGCAGAGGCAGAAGTGGCGGTGCCAAAATCAGAGAAACTCTTTGCCAACTTTGTGTAGTCCATGTCTGTGGGGGCCAGAATGCGTGTGCCCAGAGCGGGCAACCTCGGGTCAGGAGTTACGAACAAATCTGGATGAGGGTTGGGCACAGCCTCTGCGGGGTCCTCGAGGTTGATGATCACCCAAGTGGTATACTCGTCGTCCACACTGTCGACATCAATGCGCCTGCGAACCCGGTAGGTGCGCAAATGTCGCCGGAAATCCGAGGAAGCCTCCCGATCGCACTCCACCAACAAGGTGTCCGGATTATTGGTACGGTACAATATCGTGTCGTACAGCACTCGTCCGGATTTGTTGAGGAAGTGCGCGTACATGGAGGCGGGACCTCCGGGCGACTGAATCCGAGCCACATCGTTCGTGGCCAATCCCTGAAGAAACGGCACCACCTCGGCTCCGTGGATGCGGATGAGCTCCCGGTTGGCCAGCGGCTCCAGGGTGAAGTTCCGCTGGCTCATGCCCATCGGACGGGCGTACGGGATTCGCATCTCGTGGAGATTACGTATTTGCAGCCGCACCGCGCGGAGGAACCAAGGATTTGAACATCTATTCATGCTGCAAAACGGAGGCGACGGTTGCCTGCAATCGCTCGACGATTCGCTAAAATGATGAGTTCTTACCTTCTGTTGAATATTCGACCTAATTTTTATAACGTTCAGATTGCGGATACTTAAATTTGGTTCACAGAACAATGTCTGATAGGTAACTGATTTTACGGCACTGGGTTCATAACAATAAAACTTGACAGCTTGTTGGAGATGGGCGCTAGATGCGGCTTTTTGACGTGTCACGACTCCGGTTTTTTTAAAAACCAAAGATGCATGCAACTCTATATCAAAATAAATCTTAGAAAAAACCACATTAAGGATCTTTAATTTCTTTCGTGTTAAGGCATTAATTAATAAGAAACTTCGAAACGGATAAGCGATATTTCGTACCGTGCTGAGAGCTGTCTTCAATCTCCCATCTCTAATCAGCTGTTCGCTATTATGCTACCACATCATCTTGTTTTCCCCGGGTTGTTTTAGCACATTCCACTCGAAAAATCGGTATTTCGTGGCGCTGTGGGCGCAGCCACTCTGCTGGAAACACAAGAAATTTGTTTTAAACAAAACAAAATGAGTCAATACAGCCACGTTAAGTATACGCAGTCGCCGACGCCGTCGGTAGTCTCTGGCTACTCGAGCGCCTCGCGGCTCCACTCGCCCCTCCCCCCGCCCGCCAACCATCGGAGGGACTGCCTCTCGGCGACCACGAAGAGCTACAAATACCTGCGACGTCTGCTCAAGTTCAATCAAATGGACTTCGAGTTTGCCCTGTGGCAGATGATCTACCTGTTTGTGGCGCCCCAGAAGGTGTACCGGAACTTCAACTACCGGAAACAGACCAAGTCACAGTTCGCCCGCGACGATCCGGCGTTCCTGGTGCTCCTGGTGGTCTGCCTATGTGGTAAGTTTCAATAGCGCAATGCAAGGGAAGACAATCTCCACATCATAAAGTTTATCATAATTTCCAACAACACTTATTCATTTCATCAGTAAGCATTTAAAAAAATTGCCTATTTCGTCAGTTACCAATTTGATTAGTTCTATACCAAATCTCAAATAAACATTATTTTCCACTTTTTTCTAATCAAAACATTTTTAAACATTCAACAGTCACCTCTCTGGGCTTTGCGTACGTGCTTGGTCTCTCCTTCTGGCAGAGCATTTCCTTCATCTTCTACGTAGTATTCGTTGACTGCATTTTCGTGGGCATCATAATTGCCTCCTTCTTCTGGGCGGTGACGAATCGGTATCTGCGGACAAATAGTCTCGAGCCGGATATCGAGTGGGGATATGCCTTTGATGTACATCTGAACGCCTTTTTTCCGCCCCTTATGCTGTTGCACTTTATCCAGCTATTCTTCTACAACTGGCTGATCAGCCAGACGTGGTTTATCTCAAGGTTCTTGGGTAACACCTTCTGGCTGCTGGCTATGAGCTACTATGTGTACATCACCTTTTTGGGCTACAATTGTGAGTTAAAATATACTCTAAGATAAGTACCTTTAATAATAGATTTATTTTTATTTTTGCAGGCATCCCCCATTTAAAGAACACCCGCATTATACTCATTGCCCTGCCCATCATCTTCCTTCTGTTTCTGGTCGTCACCATTATTGGCTGGAACGCCACGATATCTTTCGTCAACTTCTACAAGTATCGCGTTTATTAATCATGTAACGTGCGATGTAAATTATTCTGCGTTTAGCTGCTAAGCACTATACTACAATTATGACTAATAAAATAATTAATTTAGCGTTACCCAAGTCAAATATATTGTATTTCTGGAAACATGGCCCAAAACTTTCGTACACCAATATGCTTTTATATATTCAATACATCATTTGCAGTGATTTATTATTATTAAGTTATCTTTCAACAATTTTCCGAGTTTATTAATCTACAAAGTGAACAACAAATGCAATTACGCCAAGTGCTTGGGCTTTACAAATGTGCGCTTTCGCTTGTTGCGTTTCCGCTGAAGCTCCAAGGTGTGCAATTCCGTGTGCACCTCGGCGAAGATCTCCGTCTGCTCCTCCTCCGGAATCGAGCTGCGGTAGTCCTTCATCATGTCGTACTTCTCCCAAGGCTTCTGCACCTTGGCCGCCGACAGGCGATGCTTGTCCTTTAGGTACTCATCAATATTGGCCACGCCGCGCAGGTTCTGGCGCTCCCAGCGTTCCAGCCAAGGTCTTGGTCGCAGCACTACCTTAATGTCGTTGACCGGTACTGGAGCACCATCCTCCAGTGGCTCCGCTTCCATATTCTCATCAAAAGTGCTGTACTCCGGCAGAGCATCGCGCAGATAGAAAAGACTGTCATCCAATCGCTTTTCCAGGCGGAGAACCTCCACTTTTTGGATGGTGGGGTCATACAGCTCATAGACCACCTCCATGCCTTGGTGATCAATTACATTGCGAAGGATAAAACGGGCGCGCAATCCACAGCGATCCCTATTGATGCAAATGCCCACAAAGCGACTCGTTTTGCCGGCAGCATGGGGATCCGAACTAGTCACCGCCAACACTGATCCCACATAGAACTCGGGCAGATCGATCTGCCTACGCCGGTCCAGCATATCCAGACGCTCTAGCTTCTCCCGGATGGGGTTCCTCCACTCCACTTTCGGATCGGGCAGGAACTCTGGGTAAACGAACCGATAATTCGTCGGTATAATAGGCTTGCGGGTCAGAGGAGGTGATGGTGGAGTAGGTGTGGCAGATAGAATCTTCTCCTTCTTCTCATCCTCCTGACTTTCAACAGCATGTTCCGCTGCCTTGGTGGAGAATGTGACTGAAAAGTACGTTTCCTGAATGCTTGCTCCTCGGAACATTGTGTGTCCTTACCAATCCGCTTGTAGGCACTTTGCTGCGCCAGCCTATTTAGCATAACTCTAGTGCTTAAGTTCATTTTAAATTATTTTACAGAGCCGACGAAACACATAAATGTTTAGATAATCATGCCGCACGATAATCAGCTGCTACCTAAAAAGCTATCGATATTTTTTTTTTTGTTAGCATGAAGCTGCCAACTTAGCTGTTAAAATTGTTTCACCTAAAAGTATGCAATAATTTTTTGTGCATTTCGACTATACCAATAAGAACTTGTAATGCAAGGCTAGGCATTCCAGACCTAAGTCTTACCTTTAGGGTCATCGATTTTAAAAATTAGCATTGGATTTTTATTATAGCGGTCAATTTTCAGCATGACCCAATTCCTTAAAAATATCTTTAAATTCGTTTCCAAAGAATTATATAAAATCAGCAATTTGAAGCCCAACATTTCATTGAAAAAGTCACGATTCAATTTATTTTAAATACTTTATCAAAGAGAATTTTTATTTCCTGATGTTACAAATATAGTTTGTTAAAAGTATTAACCATCATAGAGGGAAATGACAGGTGGTAAGAGTAAGCGGTAATTGGGAATTCCTGTAGGCGGTAAATGAAAGTAGCCAGATGATGACGTCATCAGCCTGCCGTACGGCTTAAAACCTAATCCTTGAGGATTTCGTTGACGGCGTTGACGACGTGGCGGGCGGAGATGCCGAACATGTCGATGAGGACAGATGGTGGGCCCGACCGTGGCACGGTGGGCACAAACAGGTGCTTAACCACAAAGTTGCGCTCACCGGCAAGAGCACTCAGCACAGCCTCACCCAGACCACCTTGCCTGCAGAGGACAAAAAATAAACAATGTTAGCAAAAAAGTAACATTAGGGGATTACAGAAGAACTCACTGGTAGTGATCCTCCACAACGACAACGCGTCCTCCGCACTGCTTTCCGTGCTCGATGATCAACTCAGCATCCAGGGGTTTCACGGTGAAGGGATCGATCACACGGACGGTGATGCAGTTCTTCTCCAGCTGGTCGGCGGCGGCCAGGCACTCGTACAACGTGATACCAGCTCCAATCAGGAGCACCTCGTCGGAGCTCTTCTGGCGCACCACCTTGCCGCGACCGATGGTGAAGGGTTCCTCGTTGTCATAGATTACGCAGGTATTGGGGCGGGACGTGCGGATGAAGCAGACGCCCTTGGTGTTGGCGGCCAGCTCCACGGCACGTTCCGTGCTCACAGCGTCCGAGGGATAGAAGATGGTGCTTCCGGGAATCGTACGGAACATGGCGATGTCCTCCAATCCCATCTGCGAGGGACCATCCTCACCGATACTGCAGCCGCAGTGGGAGCCCACGAAGTTCACGTTCGTCTGCGAGATGGCACCCATACGGATCTGGTCGAAGGCACGAGTGAAGAAGGTGGCGAAGGTCGACACAAAGGCCACGGTACGGCGACGGCAGGCGGCACCAACGGCCACGCCCACAAGATTCTGCTCAGCAATGAAGCACTCAATGTAGCGCTCGGGATCAAGGGCCTTCAGTTTGTCGGAGAAGGTAGAGTTCTTGGTGTCACCGTCCAGGGCAATCACTCGCTGGTTGTTCTTGCCAATCTTGGCCAGAGCTGTACCGTAGGCCAAGCGGGTGGCAATCGAGTCACCCAGCTTGTAGGCGGGCGGCGAGCTCAGCTGCACATTGCTGATGTCCACCTCAGGAGCTGCTCCGGACTTGGACACAGGCTTGGGGGACAGTTTCACGTTCTGGTTGACAATCAGACCCTGCAGGTGCTTGATCACCTCAGCAGCCTTGTCGCCAAGCGGCTTTCCGTGCCAGTTGTCGGCATCCTCAATGTTGGGGAAGTCCTTGCCCTTGAAGGTCTTGGCAATGATGGCAGTGGGCTTGCTCTTGGTGATGGCGGCGCAATGGAAGGCCTTAGCCAGCTCCTCGACATCGTGGCCATCGACAACCAAGGCGTTGAATCCAAAGGCCTCCAAGCGATCGCGGTACACGTCCAGTTTGTGCTGCAGGGAAGTGGCTTCCGACTGGCCCAGACGGTTCACATCGAAGATCACGCACAGGTTGTCCAGTTGGTAGTGGCCGGCAAAGTGCAGCGACTCCCAGACGGAACCCTCGGCGGACTCGCCATCGCCCACAACCACGTAGGTGCGGTAGTCGGCCTTGTCGTAGTTCTTGCCCACATAGGCCATTCCAGCGCCCACGGCCACGCCCTGTCCCAGGGATCCGGTGCCCACATCGATGAAGTTCAGACGGGGCGTCGGGTGACCCTCCAGATCGCTGTCGATCTTGCGCAGGTTGTTCAGGTCCTCGATGGGGAACAGGCCCGCCTCAGCCCAAGCGGCATACAAAATGGGGGCTGCGTGTCCCTTGGACAGGATGAAGCGATCGCTGGAGGGATCGCGTGGGTGCTTCAGATTCAGACGCAGCTGCTGGAAGAACAGCACGGACATGATCTCGGCCAGCGAGGCACATGATGTGGGATGGCTATAAGTGGGAGAGAGACAAGTCAGAATATTAGATTGTGGAATCAACTTAATGTAATTCAAGGTTAAGGTTGGTGTTTACTAAACCGATTTACAAGTTGACCTTCCCTGCAAGTCGGTGAAGGTATGAGACTAAACTGCTTAAACTTCAGTATTTCTTATTGGCTTTATGTTTATTTTTGTTTTATTCCGATATCTATAAATAAAATTGTATCCACTATGCAGAATTCTAAGTTCCCAAGCGATCGTGTTTCAACAAATAAGATAAAATGAAAAGGAGTTGTCTGCGAATTGCAGATCTGGCACAAATCCAACCGCAAAAGCACGCAACTCTAGACCAAAAGGGGGGCTCGTCTTACCTAAGACATACATAAACATAAATATACCATATCGCGTATACGCAACCAGAAATACTTTACTACATACATACATATTTATATGGGGTGATGTTTTGGATTTCAACGCAATTCTTCACCGGTTTATTGAACTTGAACTTAACTGATCCCAAAAGACGCGGAACAATAGGGTCAAGTGCAAGTTTTTTTGGTTTCACGATGGAATTGCATGCTGATCTGCCTTCCACGCACGTGTTTCCAGAATCTAGATAGACTCTAAGTGCGTCCCCGTTTCCTCTAGCCATATCAAGAACTAATGAAGGTGATACGGAGTGTCAGCAGTGACCCGGCTCGCTTATTTTATCAGTTCTCAGTGATTTTCAATTATCATGCGGGAAACACACTCGAGCTGGTCACCTCTAATCGGTCATATCGTTCTCAATGAGTAACCAATCCCGGCTTATCTCCCCGCAGAGGTCACATTTAAAACAAATAGAGCAGATCTTATCTAGCACCGTCACATACATACATATAAAAAAAACGGAAAACTAATGGTGGCGATAAAAATGTTTACCTTATCAGCGTACTTCATTTTTTATTTACTGTTGCAGTAACAACTTAGTCGCGTCTATCCCAGATATAATTACATTAAAAGCCATAAGGTCGTAAATCGAAAGTGTAGGGGAGCATTCCATTACTATCCCCATCCCTTTCATTCCCGTCGCAAGCTGTGCTTTCCAACACTTGTATATACAAATCTACACCAGCCACCATTTGATACATATATATGTTCATATGGGTTTTGGCATGACACGCAATATCTATGTATATATGTTTTTGTGTGACGGCGGCGTCGGCTTTTTGAAAGCCACGCACAAAAACAAAACAGAAATTATAAAGCAGTAAGAGAAAAAGCTTAATTTTTCAAGGTTGTCTAAGGTCAACAAAATATTAACTTGGTTATTGAGGTGAATGCGTCTTATCAGCAAGCACGCAAGCAAAGCGAATAATTCACGAATTAAATAAAGCCACTGAAAAACACGTGGCTTGGTAACAAAAACTTAGGGGTGGTGGAGTCTGTTATTTCAGTAACCGGTCTCTGCTATCTTTTTTGTTGCGCGAAAGTTTCAACTTATTCATTTTAATTTATACAAGTTTGCTAAAAAATTAAAACCCCGCTAAAACCATTTTACACAACCGCCCATGGAGTAAAGAATAGGGGTCACCTTTGAAGCAACAAGTGCAAGGTGCACAACTTTTAAAATTCACAAACCACGATATGTGTATAGGTATGTATGTATTATATGCACTTAAATTTGCTAATGGGCTTAGATATTTGCTTAGCTTACCCCGATTTGGAGGCCTGGGTGGCGTTGATGGAGTGGATTCGCAGCTTCTGGGCCAGATCTTTCAGATCCTGGATAGTTTTGGCTTCGGGCTTGTGGTACGACATCTTGCGAAGGTTTATGTGAATGGGGTTTTTGGTATCACTTTTAGATTTATGTGGAAAGACACTGAATTGTATCGGATTCGTTAGCCAAAGGGTGACGCCTCTATATTTACTGAAGACAGACAGAAGCTTCGACGTGGTTGACCGCTGCAGCCGGCTTTTATGAAACGAATAGCCTCAACGCCGGTGCGTCGGTCGCTTTTACGCTTTGGGGCCTCAATTGTGGGAGCTTACTCGCAAAGGTACGGCTATATGGTCGCACTGCTCTGGTCCCGCTCTACTCGTCGGCGTTGGAAAGAGATGGATACATGCACAACATCAGCTTGGCTCCCCACCCTCTTATCTGACAACAGCTGTGGGTAGATAACTAGTACAGATTAGATAAGATGATTTTGTATCTTCCTATCGGTAAGCGTTTTCTTTAAAAAATAAGTTTTAAAGACATAATAAAAAAGATCGACATAAAGGCAATTTATGCCTTCAACATTTTTATGTAAGTACAACACAAAAACTTTACAGAACCTATTAGAATGACCGCCGCTATAAAACACTGGGGTGTGGAAAAGAGCGCTCTCAAGCAACAGTTCAAAATAAGAGAATAGTTAAGTGTTCTCTTTTGCTCTCTCTTTGTTACTTTCCCCTCTCTGCTCGTGAACAAAAGGCGAATTTGCCGCCGAAACATACAACCTTCGATAGCTCAGTTGGTAGAGCGGTGGACTGTAGATGGTAACATAAGCAATAGAAATCCATAGGTCGCTGGTTCAAATCCGGCTCGAAGGAACCAAAAGAGATGTAAATTTTTTTGTGAAATGGACTTATAAATTGTTTTTTTTGCCAAGCATTAAGTGGAAAATGTTAAGTATCGTTAAAAAAAAAGTGCACAACAATAATTCTGCGTACCAAAACCGGTATGTCTTAAAATTATTCGATTGCAAAAGAAGGCCTTGAGGTGGCTGACCATTACTGACCCGGATACCAGATAATAAATACTGAAGTACTCCATTCAAAACTAAATCACCTTGCTTAGGGCCACGAACAAAAATCACATTGGCCGCAATGTTTTCCAACCTTCGATAGCTCAGTTGGTAGAGCGGTGGACTGTAGATGGTAACATAAGCAATAGAAATCCATAGGTCGCTGGTTCAAATCCGGCTCGAAGGATCGGAAGAAGTAATTTTTTTTATTTATTAAAAAATTAAACTATTTCTTAGAAACACTTTTTTTTCGAAAATATTGCCCGATTATAATAACTTTATGTCATGGGTTGCTCTTATTGCAAAATCCAAGAAAAAACCAATCAAAACATATAAAAAAAAAAGTTTAGCAAAACGGCAAAACCCGAGAAACAAAATACTGTAGAAATCGAAATTTAAATATGTAATCACTGCAAAAAGTGAAAGCTGGTACGAGTTTCTAAACTTTTGTACGCATACGTCAAACAATGTCAAACCAGCAGATGGCCCTGGCTACAATGAAATAAATTTAAATTTATGCTGACGAAAATAGATATAAGTTGAACTATATGAAGTACGTTTTTTTAACCCTCACGATTATCCAGATACCCATTACAATGCGTGCACCTCAGCACGCCCCCTTCGATAGCTCAGTTGGTAGAGCGGTGGACTGTAGTTGGTAAACATGCAATAGAAATCCATAGGTCGCTGGTTCAAATCCGGCTCGAAGGATTTTTTTTAATTTTTGCGATTTTTTTACGAGAGTATTTTTGTTGTAAATGTAAATAACTAAAAATCCAATTGCAATATACACCTTTGAATAGCGTAGCTTATAAATACCTAACTGCGCTGCCTACATAAGATTAGTTTAATAGTATTTTCATTACCTTTCATGTATTTGCTTTCTAGTCGGACCTCGTATTGATGTATAACAGGAAATTTTGAATTTTCGTCTGAAAGTTAAAATTGAATGTGTATTTTAATTTACTTAAAACCAAAAGCACAGCTTGATGAGAGATTTGAAATTTAATTTAGTTTCCTGTGCAAACCCGATTTTAAATACCTTTTTAGTACAATATTAATTTAGAAGTGGGTATACACATTTCAATTAATAATTTAGCGTGTTCATTTATTATTTATGCGTACAAGTCGATATATTTGTCACAAATACAAATAAATATGAAGGTCCTACAGTTAGAAAGGACCTATGAATATCAACTTTTGCCTTTTGTTTTTTTCTTAAAGAATTAACTAATGCATAAATTAGTTAGCAAAATAGTCAACGTTAACAATAGTTACTTTCAAATATACACTTGTTGCCCTCAGCTTGCCACCGTTTCCAACTTGGTGCAACGTTTTCTACATTAAATACGAATTTATAAAAATAGGCATTATATTAGTATTTATGTACTTATGTTTGCTAATCGGTAATTAGGTCTAAACAACATTATCATTTTGTGCACACATTTCGTCTGAGTACAGTAAAAGCTGCTGCGAGTGCACGATCTGTCAGAATTGGCAGCACATTGATCAGCTCAGCTAAATCGTTACCTTTTATTTATAGTATTGTACAAGCGGGCTTTAAATAAATTACAATATAATTACATCAACAAAATAAAACAAATGCTTACAGGGGATGTACAAAAATGATGGTAAATCGTTTAACGACACTAGCAAAATAAATTACAATTGAAAAAAAATATATATCACTAGCTAAAAGCGTTCCAAGAGTGTACAAAAAATCGGTAATAAATTATAATACAAAATCGTTGAGTGGTCGTTGTTTTGCTTAGACTCAGTCCAGGGCGATGCCCTGTATCCAGGCGCTCAGATCGCTGCCGTCTGACTCCATGATGATTTCGTCCGGCTCCTCGCTGGCCAGCAAATGCTGCGCCGCCGTGCGGCCACTCAAATAGGCGCCGTGTACTGTCGAGTAGAAACTGGAATGGGTGTGCTCTCCGGCAAAGACTATGGCGGGCTATGAAAGTGTGTTCAAATTAGAACAGTTTTTAGTGGATAATTTGTTGACGCACCTTCATGGCCTGGGGAGTGGCATATAGGGGCTGGGCCAGATTCTCAATATCCTCCTGAGTAGCGCCTACAGGTATCGAAGTGTAGGCTCCACCAGTAAAGGGCTGAGACTTCCAACTCGTGCTGGTCAGTTAAGATACATTTGTTAAGATCAGACTTTCTAATTTCGTGTATATTTCAAGTTTCCTTACCACACACATCGCTTCGGTTTGGGCACGTACGGATCCTGGAGAAAGTTCCTCAGGATTTCTGTGCACTTCTCCGCCACCGCCTCGTGGGAGAGCGTCTCCATGAACTCGGCCTCTCGACCGGAAACCCAACCCAGAAGCAGGGTGTCCGTCATCTTGGCAAACGAGTATATCTTCTTAAACCAATTCTTGCTGAGATACGCCTCGCTAGCCAACTCCTCCTCGGTGCTGTTCATGTCTCGCTTGTCGTCGTCCCACAGTAACATAATCTCTGATATATCCGCACTAAGGAACGGCCGCTCGTACTCCAGGAATATTTTGTCTACGGTGCCGAACATGAGATTCTCAATGGACTCCTGCTTGTACTGCGGCAGCACAGGATCGAACAGAGTGCGATGCGTCTCCTTCAGCACGCCCAGCGGTATGGTGCATATCACATGTTCCGCATGGAGTACTCGACCGTCCTCGCAATCTACGCGCACATTGCCTGCAGGTGAATCACAATTGCTGCTGGAGTTAGACTCCATCGAGGCGCCGCGAAGCCCTCCCGTGGGCACTTCCGTCACCGTTCGCTCCGAATCGTCCGAGTGCTCGTCCTCCGAGTTCTCGTCGACGGTCTCCAGGCCAGTAAAGGTCTTTTTCCGCTTCCAGTGGATTTTCTTCACCGGGCATTTGGTCAGGATTGACTGCTTGGGTATCTGGGCGCTCAGCGGTCGCAGGATGGAGCTGTAGCCAGACGGCAGCACTATGTTGCCTCCCTGTAGCTCCGTGTAGCTGCCTGAAGGAAGAGACATGCTTATATATTAATTGGCCTACCATATTTTAATGATTTTTATCTCACCTAGTTCGAGGAGATCCACCTCGTTCATGTTGTTGCAGCCGGTTATGCAGGTCTCACGTTTAAGCAGGCAGTTAAATATGGACTGCTTGAGGCGTTTCTCCTTTGGATCCTGGACGCCGCTCAGGTAGATTTCGATTTCATAGTTGATGTGCTCGCCCACACTGTGTATATCAGGAGGAGGACTGTACTGACACAGGAAATACTCGTCGCAGCGCCTCAAAAAAACAGACGTACGCCTCGTAGATCTCCTGGAGTATGCTAAATGGCACCTGGTGGCCATCCTCCGTGGTGGCCACCACCTTGTGCGGCTTTGGTACGTTTACCACGCTGACTAGACCATGCTGAACGGCCAGTTCGAAGATGGGGTTGCCCAGGACGCCGTGTATCCAATTGGCCCCCAGTTCAATCTTTGTTATAAAGGAAGTTTAATAGGAAATGTTTAAATATTTCATACTGATATGGCAAGTGGTAAAAGCTTTATATTTTAAAAAGATAAATGCCTTAAACTTGACGGTGATAAACAGATAAGAACTGACCTAGAGTATTAAATTTAAGCAGTGTGAATAAAATACGACAATACTCAAACAATTTATTAGCATATTAGTTGTAAGATACATAAAACTAGTAAAATATATATAAACCATTTTAAAATGTAATGATATTTGTAGACCTACAATTAGTCTACGTGATCGTTGGCCCGCAAACCCGTGAGTTAATAAGGGCATTGCACCAGATACGTCATTCTTTGCTTATTTTAAAAAAACCCTATCTTATCTAGCCTAGCGTAGCCAGAGAAAGTTGTATAACGCATTCCTTGATAAGGTCCCGCCACACCGGTCAAAAATATGCAAATAAATAAAGGAAAAGTGGAAAGTTCTCAAGCAAAAACATGTGAAGGCCTAACATTTTAAACTAGCAGTAGGCAAACCAGGAACAGGAACATATATAAAAATAGCACTAATGAAAAACGTGAACAGCTGACCGACTGCGCAGTGCTTGGAAAAATCTATAATCAACGTTAGGGGCGCAGGGCGAAGAATTTGTTACAACATACTATAAGTTTTCCTAATCGGGTGTGCTTTGTTATAATGCTAGTTTGATTTGTTTTGGTTCTTGGACTTGAGGGTTATATAACGCCATGTACCTTCTGGTTATTGCTCAGCGGTATGGACACTATTCGTCCGCCCACTCGGCCCCTTGCCTCCAAAATAAGGAAATCCTCGCAGCCATTCTGCAGAAGGTGATTCGCTGCCGATAATCCTGCCATTCCGGCTCCGATGATTACTATCTTCACGTTCGTGCTGCTCCCGGAAGCTTGGGGTTGATCCCCGGCTCCAGCAGTCCCAATATTGGCCATACCCTCCTCCGTGGGCGAAGGCGCGGGTGTTACGGGCTCCTCCTTGTCGCCCATTGCTACACTTTGTTTTTCTTATACATATGCGAGTTTCTCGTGTTCTCCCTGATGCGTATCAATATTTTTTTGAGCTTTTAACGTCTCATTTCACTTTTCTGCACTTTTTCGCTTGGGGAGTCGAGTCGCGCGACTGTTTTGACGTTTATTTGACAGCAGATGTTGCGGTTGGGGGAGCTATTGGCAAACAGCTGTTCGATTGGGGCTTAGAAATCGGTTTTTCGCTAGTAAACATTGTTCATTAGCAGATTTATTTCATATTTACTTGAATTTTAGTTACTTGCTCTAAATTAAGTAAGTTTTTACTTAAAGTTTGGGAGAAAACTTTACAACAGCTGTTGGTTATGGCGTTGCCAAACAATAAAAATAAAAAATAAACAATCCAGTTGGTATTTTACAACACCAAAAAAACCATCGATACAATTTCAGATTTGAATTTTTTTCCAAAAAGCAGTACTTATTAATTTTTTATATTGATTGGAATTGTTTTACGGATAGATCTCATTTATTTTAAAATTTGTGAACGACACAACCACTTTCTATCGAACACTTGCCAGCACTAGCAGGGCTGCCAGATGGTTGCAACGGGCTGTGTACACAAATTGGTCGCCTCGCTGATAAAAACACAAATTTTGTAAATAATTGCTTAAGATCAAGAGGGTGACCAGCGAATACAGTTTTAATAGCAAGCTATGTGATTGACAAACGCTGGGGAACAATAAACACCCGCAAGATGGCCGACGCCTACTGCCTGACAAACTTTATTGATTTTTCGCTGTCGCTGTCGCTGCCGCTGAAACACCACAATCGCATCAAGGTAAGCACTGCAATCTCACCTGTAACTTGATAGCGTGCCACCCACTTATATATGCACTGCCTCCCTTTCACAGTACACATGCTTCGACATCTCCGACAGCTATATCATTTTCGGCGCCTCGTCCGGATCGCTGTACCTGTTCAATCGGAACGGCAAGTTCCTGCTCTTGATACCGAACAAACATGGAGCGATCACGAGTCTCAGTATTTCGGCGAATAGCAAATATGTGGCCTTTGCCACCCAAAGATCCCTGATCTGTGTGTACGCGGTTAACTTGTCCGCCCAGGCCACTCCGCAGGTGATATTCACTCACCTGGACCAGTCGGTGCAGGTGACCTGTATCCACTGGACGCAGGACGAGAAGCAGTTCTACTATGGCGACTCCCGCGGCCAAGTCAGCCTCGTGCTGCTCTCCTCCTTTATTGGCCACAGCCTGCTGCTCAACATGACCGTGCATCCGCTGCTTTACTTGGACTCACCCATCGTCCAGATCGATGACTTTGAGTCTCTGCTTTTGGTGTCCAACTGCACAAAGTGCATTCTTTGCAACACGGAGTACGAGGAGTACAAGCAGGTGGGTCTAGGGGGAACTTTGTTAAGATCAGAACGGATTTCCAAATTAACCTTATTAAACATGGCAAGGCTTTTATTTGTGAATCCCAATGTAACTTGAATTTCATGCAATAATCTAAGCTGGCAGTGTTTGTGAGCTGTGATTCATCAAAGTCATAAAGCTTATCTCGAAGCCAAGTGAAGCCCTGATCTTTGCCAATTCAAAACACGAATTATTCGATTTATTTACTGATTTCTTCAGATCGGAAACCGACCAAGGGATGGTGCCTTTGGAGCCTGCTTCTTCGTCTCCCCGCAGGAGTCCCTGCAGCCTTCTCGGATTTACTGCGCTCGACCTGGCAGTCGTGTTTGGGAGGTGGACTTCGAGGGCGAGGTGATACAAACGCACCAATTCAAGGCCGCTCTGGCTACTGCACCTGCGAGGATTCAGCGCCCTGGCAGCGGAACCGACGAACTGGACGCCAATACCGAGCTGCTTGACTACCAGCCGCAGAATTTGCAGTTCGCCAAGGTGCAAAGGCTAAACGAGGACTTTCTGTTGGCCTTCACCGAGCTGGGACTGTATGTGTTTGATGTGCGACGATCGGCGGTGGTTTTGTGGTGTAATCAGTTTGAGAGGATCGCCGACTGCCGCTCCTCGGGATCGGAGATTTTCGTGTTTACCCAGTCGGGTGCACTTTACAGCGTTCAACTGCAAACGCTGCAGTCCCACGCAGTCTCCCTCGTCCAGCAGTCCAAGTTGCTGCCCTGTGCGAACCTCCTTCGACAGCATGTGCGATATTTTGCGGACAAGGCCCGCGAGGATTACGAGCTGAAGCAGTTGAATCCGCTGAAGCAGCTGCTGATCGAACGGCAGGAGTACGAGCTGCTGAATGATATATCCGTGATTTTCGATGCCATCACCCAGTGCACGGGCAGTGCTTTGGATACGCACAGTTCTGGAGGCAGTTCGGCCACCACTGAACGCAGTTTGAGCGGCGGCAGTTCAGCCAAAGCGACACCAAAGGGAGTTTACGTTCTGGAGAACGCCTTTTGCGACAACCTTAAACAGCCTGTGAAGTCGGGACACTTCAAGGACGCCCTGCTGACGGTAACTGGTAAATTCGGCAAGAACATCATTAAGTACAAGTTCAATATTTTCGCCGAGGAGCAGCAGCAGTTGGTTAGAGAACTGATCCCGGCCAGCGAGCGCTCGCTGCCGTTCAAGGATATTAAGGCGCGCTACGAATCGGGATCCGAGGATCAGGAGGAGGAGATCGTAACACGCTGCAAGAGGCCGGCTCCCCAGGCGATCCACATCAGTCCCGAGGAGAAGACCCTCTACAACCTCTACCTGATAGCCAAGAGCGCCAAGTTCAGCCGAACGCAGTGCGTCGATCGCTATCGAGCGGTCTTCGATGAGTATGCAGCTGGGGAGCTGGTGAATCTGCTCGAGAAACTGGCGAAGGTGATGGTGGAGCACGGCGATACGCCGGATCAAGCGCAACGCAACTGCTACGAGATGTACTTTGACTACTTGGATCCGGAACTCATCTGGGAGGTGGACGATGCCACGCGGGACCACATCGCCGCGGGATTCGTGCTGCTTAATACGTCAGAGAATGCGGAGGTTGTCAAGTGTGAGCACTGCTCCTTTCCACTTCGCTTCGACACCTCCTGCCAGTATCACGAGCTTGGAGCGGTGCTGCTGCGGTATTTCTGGTCCCGCGGCGAGCAGCTCAAGTGCTTCGATGTGGTGCAGTCCGTCCCGGCTCTCCTAGATGTCCTGGCCAAGTTCTACCTGGCCGAACAGAACCTCACCAAGGTGGTGGCCATTGTGCTGAACTACGGACTGCCTGAACTTCTGGCGGACGTGGGCAAGCAGCTGAACGTCGCCGCTTGGGGTCGCTGCTTCGAGCAGTTCGTGGAGCTGCAGCGCGGGCAACTGGTGTGCGCCAACTGCGAGTGCGTCTCGGGCGTGGAGCAGGAGCAGTTGAGCCGGCACTTCTTTTACAACTGGAACTGCTTCCTCAACATAGCACTGGATCACATGACCGCCGGCGATACGCTGGCGTTGATCTTCAAGTGGAGCTCGTACATTCCAAACGACGCCATCGACCGGGAGTTCTACTCCCGCTGCCTGCTCAAGGGCTAATCGATGGGGCATTATTACACAGATATATACGATACTATATAGCCATATTTATTGTTCCCCTATGTAATCTCAAGCTAAGGCCAATACCAAAAGCATTTATTCTATATAAACATGTACACCCACGATATGTATATTCTAAACACGAGAGTACATGAATATATTTGAGAGTTCGAAATCCCTTTTTTTTGGATATGCAAGATTGCGTTTTCTAGTAAGCAAATCAAATGCCCATCCCCTTGATTTTTGCTTCAAAATGAAAAATGGGGTAAGCGACTGACGCTTGGTAAAATAACCACACCTCAACATAGACACAACAATTTTTGGCCCAATTGATACAAAATTTCAACTGCCCAGCCTTATTTCTCCTCCATTTCAAAAATCAACAGCCTGAACGACATCGATTTAAATTCGATATCCCGCGAAGTTACCGCAGCGATCTGGCAGCGCCCGCTCCGATATCCGGGTCAAGTTCCCCAGCCGCGAACCGAGGGTTAGGTCTGTGCTATTTCATGTACGCTTATCGATATCCGCAAACGTACAACCCTACTTTTTAGACACGCGTCTGAAAGCGGAAAAAAACGTGAACTCGTCGGAAAAGCAGCATTTTCCAAGCCCATAGCGCTTGTAATTGTAATTGTTGGCACAAGCAGGCCAGCTGAATCCGATACGGAAACGTCTCAGTTTCAAGCCGAACAAAGGAATTCTGTGCGAGGAACGAAAAGAACCGAAAACTGAAAAAGTACAGACCCTTGAAATTTCACACGAGAACGCAGTAGCTTGTGGAACGTAAGAAGTTTTGTCGGAAAAACTAAGGAAAAACGTATAGACACCAAGTGCAACACCAACACAACGATCGTATACATTTTTTTGTCGCAAATTGCAAGTGTGCACCCCAAAAAAAATCAAAGCGTAACCATTTTAAAATTTTCCTAAACGGAAAGCAAGAAAAAAAAAGCAACTGATTGGAGGATAATATGAGTAATGCTATTAACCAAAATGGCACAGGTCTAGAGCAGCAAGTAAGTAGAGTTAATAACTGGTGAAAATATTACATATAGAAAGAAAAACTACTTGTATATACAGTGAGTGCATGTGTGTGTGTGAGTGATGCTCATGCGGCTATTGGAAAAAGTTCGGCTAGAAATTTTATTGATTTCATAACACACTAATGTCTCGTATCGCTTTTTTACAACGGTGAATCGTGTCGGTGTGGAATGGTGTTCATGTGTGCGTGAGTGCTCTTCATCGTCATTCCAATTTGTAATTTCTTTTGTATAATTTTTGCTCGCTTGCCTCCAATTTGACATGTATATTATATACAAATGAAAGTTTCCACTCGACCACCCATGTTTGTGTGCGTGTAAGAGCAGTACCGCTGTTCTAAGGCTGACCGTGTGTGTGTGCGTCATACTTCGCTCTCTCTCGCTCTCGGGCACATGTGGAAGCTGTTGTAAGCAGGGTTGCCAGGGGTTGGCGATTTGGTGATTAATTTCAAGGGTGAATTGGCATAAATTTGAAAACTGAACTAATTTCACCAGTGCGCCGAAATCAGTCCTCAACTTAAAGCTATAGTTAAATAAAAGTTTAACCTTATTTGCGTTTATTTTTATTTGATTTATTTGTTTATTTTAGATTTATTAAGTAAAAACATAGAAATTTAGTTCTTATAGAAAATTAATAATAAACCCGAACGTTGGGGATTACCCGAAAAATACATTCAATTCAACATTAAAAAAAAAGTATGAGAGCAATAATATACTGTGGAATTTAACGTTTAAAAGATTAAAAGGTTTTGTATTTGATTTTTCTCCTTGAGTCATGTAAATGAAAAGAATAGCAACTATTTCTTCTTTTAGCTCTTTACGACGACATCCACATTGTTTTTATTTGGGTTCCACAACAGGGCTTAGGGTTTTGCCACTTCGTCTGCGATTTATTTACACATGTGTGGGTGGCTCTTGTCAAAGTGATGTTTTTGTTGTGTTGCTAGGCGGTCTCTCTTTGTGTAAAAATCTGCCACTGGGTGCGAGAGAGATGGTTACAATTGAAGAGCGTCTCCACCGCTGACGAACAGAATACAAAAATCAAATTCAAAGCTTTAAACTAGTTGCGCCTCTCTCCCATTTTTGAATATGTATGTATATATACACGTAGTACTAAGAAGGAAGAAGAAGACGTAAATCGAACATGTTGCTAAGCTCGTATCAAGTTTAGATGTTCTGGAGAAAATTTCCATTTGGAAAAACTTAAACCAATCGCTTGCACTGTTAATTCTTTATCAGCCGGAAAATAATATAATTGGTTTTTTTTAACCCATTAACCTATTTACTTGTTATTGTTATTAAAAGTTTCCGTATGCGAGCTTACTTTTTTTTATCTTATTGCACCATTGTTTGCACAAAGCTGACCGATAGATTGAACAATATTAAACCAATAACAAAGTGTACCTGCAAACGTTATTGGTTTTCGGGGGTTTGTCAAAAGGAGACCCAATACTGAACTTCCATAATCCACAACTTTGCCATTTTTCAACCGATTCCAAAGCGACAAACCTCCAAACGTTTGTAATCGCATTCTTGATAAAACTGCATTAAAAATTTTCCATTTTTGGATGGTCAAAATTTTGACCCCTGTTCATGTCAGATTTTTCCAAATATTCCGATATTTTACCAATAGGAGACCTAGTTCTAGAGCTCCAGAACCCATAACTTTGCCAATTTTAGTCCGATTCCAAAGTGTCATACCTCTAAACATTTGTTTTGGAATTCCTAAACGAACTACATTCAAAATTTGTCATTTCCTAGTGGTCAAATTTTTTACCCCTGTTCATGTCAAATTTTGTCAGGTTTCCGATGCTGTGCCAAACAAGTGACCCAATCCCGTACTTCCATTCTCCATTACTCGATCAATTATTATCCTATTTCAAAGTTACATACCTCTAAACGATTGCAATAAAATTCCTAAATGGTCTTCGATTAAATATTTTTTTTTTGTAGCAGAGTGGTTTTTTGAACCCCATATTTTTGCCAGTTTTCACCTAATTAACTTCTTTAGAATTTGTCCAGCTAATTGATTTTGTTTCGAACAAGACTTACGTGTTTGTCCATCTTCTTTACAGGTTGCTGGTCTGGACTTGAATGGCGGCTCTGCTGACTACAGCGGCCCCATAACAAGCAAGACTTCCACTAACTCGGTCACCGGTGGTGTGTATGTGCCCCCGCATCTTCGTGGTGGTGGTGGCAACAACAACGCAGCGGACGCAGATAGCCAGGGCCAAGGACAAGGACAAGGAGGCCAGGGCTTCGACTCGAGATCCGGGAACTCGCGCCAGGACAGCAGGGATCCGCAGCAGTCGCGCGGCGAATACCGCAGGGGCGGCGGCGGAAGTCGCGGCTTTAATCGCCAGAGCGGCGACTACGGCAGTTTCGGAAGCGGAGGCGGTGGCGGAGGAGGACGTCGTGGTGGAGGTCGGTACGAGGACAACTACAACGGTGGGTCCCAATAATAATTTAAGTATTGTTTGGAGACCTACGAGTTACAAGTTGAAACCAACAAAAAAGATTTCAGACAAATTACAACAAGGAAACTAGTAGTTTCCTATCGTAGTAGTCGAGATTTACTTATTTTACCTGGTCAGCTTGTCAAATATGTTTAGAAAGCAGTTTTTCATTTTTTGTCTCTGACAATCATATACAGACTTACTAAAACAAATGTCCCAATACACTAAAAATTCGAACAAAAAATTTGGAAAATGGAGTAAGATTTCTTTTTTTAACCCTCTTTGATCCTCGGATTAGATTACTTCTTGAGGCAAAATTATAAATTTCCCAAAGCATATGCGTTAAACACTTGTTTCAATCCGTTGCAGGTGGTGAATTCGACTCGCGTCGCGGCGGTGACTGGAATCGCAGCGGCGGAGGCGGAGGAGGACGCAACTTCGGACGCGGACCCTCGTACCGCGGAGGCGGTGGCGGCAGTGGAAGCGCCCTCAACGAACAGACTGGCGAGGATGGCCAGGCACAGCAGCAGCAGCAGCCGCGCAACGATCGCTGGCAGGAGCCGGAGCGGCAGCCCGGATTTGATGGCGGCGAAGGCGGACCGCCTGGTGGCGGCAACAGAAGCTACAACAACCGCGGCGAGCGCGGAGGCGGCGGCTACAACAGCCGGTGGAAGGAGGGCGGCGGCGGCAACATCGACTACACAAAGCTGGGTCCGAGGGACGAGCGCCTGGAGGTGGAGCTGTTCGGCGTGGGCAATACGGGAATCAATTTTGACAAATACGAGGATATACCCGTGGAGGCGACGGGCCAGAATGTGCCCCCGAACATCACATCGTTCGATGATGTGCAGCTGACGGAGATTATTCGCAACAACGTGGCCCTAGCACGTTATGATAAACCGACTCCGGTGCAGAAGCACGCCATTCCGATCATCATAAATGGCCGGGATCTGATGGCCTGCGCCCAGACCGGATCCGGCAAGACGGCCGCCTTCTTGGTGCCGATTCTCAACCAGATGTACGAGCACGGCTACGTGGCCCCGCCACAGAGCAACCGGCAGTACAGCCGGCGCAAGCAGTATCCGCTGGGTCTGGTGCTGGCACCGACCCGCGAACTGGCCACCCAGATCTTCGAGGAGGCCAAGAAGTTTGCCTACCGCTCCCGGATGCGTCCGGCCGTGCTGTACGGTGGCAACAACACCATCGAGCAGATGCGCGAGCTGGACCGCGGCTGCCACCTGATTGTGGCGACGCCCGGCCGACTGGAGGACATGATCTCGCGAGGCAAGGTTGGACTGGAGAACATTAGGTTCTTGGTTCTTGATGAGGCGGATCGCATGTTGGACATGGGTTTCGAGCCCCAAATCCGTCGTATTGTTGAGCAGCTAAACATGCCGCCAACCGGAGAGCGCCAGACGCTCATGTTCTCGGCCACATTCCCCAAGCAGATCCAGGAGCTGGCCAGCGATTTCCTCAGCAACTACATCTTTTTGGCCGTGGGTCGCGTGGGCTCCACTTCTGAGAACATCACGCAGACGATCCTGTGGGTCTACGAGCCCGACAAGCGTTCATATCTGCTGGATCTGCTCTCGTCGATCCGCGACGGTCCCGAATACAGCAAGGACAGCCTAACGCTGATCTTTGTGGAGACGAAGAAGGGTGCAGACTCGCTGGAGGAGTTCCTGTACCAGTGCAACCATCCCGTGACCAGCATCCACGGAGATCGCACCCAAAAGGAGCGCGAGGAGGCGCTGCGCTGCTTCCGCTCGGGCGACTGCCCGATCCTGGTGGCCACCGCTGTGGCCGCTCGTGGCCTGGACATTCCGCACGTGAAGCACGTCATCAACTTCGACCTGCCCTCTGATGTGGAGGAGTATGTCCACCGTATCGGTCGTACTGGTCGCATGGGTAACCTCGGCGTGGCCACCTCCTTCTTTAACGAGAAGAACCGCAACATTTGCTCCGACTTGCTGGAGTTGCTGATCGAAACGAAGCAGGAGATCCCCAGCTGGATGGAGGACATCAGCTCTGATCGCGGCCACGGCGGAGCCAAGCGTACTGGACGCGGCGGTGGTGGACGTTATGGTGGTGGCTTTGGATCCCGAGATTACCGTCAAAGTTCTGGTGGCGGTGGAGGCGGTGGTGGCGGCGGACGCAGTGGAGCTCCGCCCCGCAGCGGTGGATCTGGAGGCGGCGGTGGCAACTACCGCAGCAACGGAAACTCGTACGGTAAGTTTGGTGAGTGTGAAACCATCCATTATAAACTAATTGTTCGGAGGGAGATACTAAAGCGTTGGTTTCTTTTTCAGGCGGCAATTCGGGAGGCGGTGGTTACTATGGCGGTGGCGCTGGCGGCGGCTCCTATGGCGGCTCCTACGGCGGCAGTGCTGCGCACTCGAGCAACGGACCCGACTGGTGGGGCCAATGAGCAAGGCCTCAGCTTCAGGCAAAGGTCCTGGGCCGGCAGCAGCAGCATCAGCAGACGCATCGTAGCCACTTTCGCAACTAACCAAACGGAGAACAAAAACCAAGTCGATAACACCTATATATATATGTGCACACGTATACTTTATAGGAACAGCAAATGTGAAAGAGAAACTGTCTGTGCGCAGCGCAACACAAAACACGAAAATACAGAAAAGATACACAGATGCACCCTCCATCCTCGTTTAGCAATTCACTCCTCTCTCAACCTTAAAAAAAAAAACAGGAGCCAGCATTAATAATAAATTGTGCGAATCGCGAAAGTATGTTACATATATGTATAGCCAGCCCAAACGCCACAGGCCCACATCCCATTTCCCATCCCTATATTTTATGGAATCGATGCGTATAGTTGAAGGATATGCAAACATACATATTAAAAATATGCTAAACAACCACAAATATTAAGAATATTTAAGCAACTGATACAATTTTGAATTTTTGTCCATAAGTTACACTTCTCACACATCATTTTCTTGGAATTCTTAAAATACAAATATATATAGGCATGTATACTGTCGATATCGGATCAAGACGATGAATGCGCAAATCCTTGAACTTCAATTGATTTTAAACGAAGAAAACATAAAATAGTAATGATATATATATTAAAAAATATATAAATCGAGATATAATGTACTATATGAAACGAGAAACCAACACAAACAAAAACTATTAAAAAACAAAGTTTGCTAAACTTACATTTAATAATTTAGCAAATGAAAAAGAAGTTGCGTGTTTTGATTTTACTTCTATAAGCCATCTGTTTTAAAGAGCTCTTTGGCCCTTCAGTTTGAAGAGTAATTTGTCAAGACATTTTTTGTAGCACTCTTATCTTTTCTTTAAGGTGGGACTTGAGTATTATTTATTTAATGTTTGATTAAGATTTATTTCCATTTCGCTATCAGCTTTTAAATAAGCCCAGTGATAAAATCTGGCACTTGGTTTTGTTCATTATTCGTGTACCTTGTTCATTTTTCGATGACTTTAGTTCCTAAAACGTTGCGATCCATAGCACTTCGTAAAATTCTATTTCTTCACCGGCTTATTACTGATATTCTTATTTGAATAAATTAACATTAATTCGGTTAGTGACCCCTCCGGAGCTTCTCAAAAGAGAGCTTTGTCACCGGTTTCTCGCCAGGAAAGCTTCAACTATGCACTTTCTGGCAATCAGACTAATTGAAAGTGCAAATTGGGGGGCATAATGTAAATAGAAGTGCAGCAAACAACGAGGAGGATGTGACGATCGTGCGGCTGCCTACCCGCTCACTAATTAGATTAGATTAGGCGAACTTGATTAGTTCGCTGTGATGTTTACTGGAGGCCAAGGGAGCTTGTCGAATTGTTTGTCATACAAATTTTCTCGGAGAGCAAAGCTTTGTGCTCCACGATCAGTGGTTGGCATTTAAAACAGCGTGGGCTGTTGAGTAAACCACACCCCGTTTTTTTTAGTACTTTGGAGAACTGTCCGGAATTTTTGGTGGATACTCGTTTTTTGCGGACCTCAGCTGTGTCAATTTCAGGCCTCCATCACGTAAACTTGCCGAATATGCAGAAACCGCAACAAGGTCTGTGCTGGATATTGCTCCTCTTGGGGTCGCTGATCGTTTCCTTCATGCTTGCCTTCAGTTATTGGATGTTTGTGCCCCGCGATGTGCAATTTTGGTCAATTTTATCAAGGAACTACAGCGATGCTGGGATCAAGTTCTCCCTTCCTCCGGCTGCAGTTCCGGAGGAACTTGAACTAAAACAAAAACCCATGTTCATTTACCAGATATTACACTGATTAGGATTTACAATTTAGAGTATATATGCTATGTAATCTTACGGTAGTTTAACAATAAATTACATGTACAAAGAAGCTGGTTTAGGGGTGGCTTGGTTAAGCTAGCAGACATCACAAGTTTATGGTTCGAGTCAGACGTCTGATTTTTGGTTGAGGGCTGCATAGCCCACCGGAATCTCTTTCATTTCGGTCTGCAGGCAAAGGAACTCGCCGCCTATGCACATTATCGTACCGGTGATGACGTTGAGCAGCCACCAGGATGCGTTGGCAGGAAAGGAGCGGTTGTACCACCAGCAGATGAGCAAATGCAGGACGTGAAAGGTGCAGCTACGGAAGAAAACAAAATTGCATATTCAGTGAGATGGGTTATCAGGCAATATTTTCTATTACACACTTATTATTTTCAAAATATTAATGCAAAAGAATGTAATTCTGTTATTAAGTTATGTATGCCTTCTTTAGTTAAATTATAGACAACTTGTTAAAATAACTGGTCCTGCTTATTAATGATCTTGCCTTGATTTTTTGTATTGAGTAATAAAATATAACTAGCAAATCGAAACCATCATTGATCCTTTTATTCTTGTACTCTGTTCTTTCTGATGTATTTGAGATACCCACCTAAAGTCCAGGCAGAGCTTGGCCCGTCTCACAATGCACCACAGCGCCAGGGAAGCCAGGAACGCATTGAGAAGAAATGCGCAGATCACCAATCTGCCGCCCAAATCGTAGATGTGAATCTCCTTGAAACAAAAATAGATCAAATGTGACTAGGCTATGGTAATAAAGTTCTGCGGGTCAGGATCCCAATCAACATACATGGTACTCGAACAAATGATCCAGGCTGTAGTTATCCCCGGACAACTTGCTGGCCACGAAGACCAGTAGGCCAAGTGTAAAGTACACGCAGAATTGCATGGAAACGATCTGTGAGGACAGCAGCGTGGGATCCCACTGGGTGTTTCTGAAGGTTCCGCCCTTCATGGTTGCCCCGGGTTTCCAATCCTGCTCTTCTATTGCGAAAGATCTAAATTTCAGCTGGCCATAACAAATTGACTCAGTCCGTAGAGATGGCAAAGGTGGCTATCGATTGTTGAGTGCCAGGGGCGTCGTAAGACAGGTAAACTTTTGACCCGCTAAACTTGGGGATAATATAAAACATACTCATGCCAGACACCTGGACGTAATCTTAAACCTTTTTCAAATTTAAAATTAATGATTTCTAATTAATAAATTAATTCAAAGAGTATTTCTTAAATTTTTGTCTATATTTGGAGCTGGTTTTCTTTCGGCAGGCTTGAGTTGAATTGTCTCTCAAAATTAACTCTATTTTGAATGTACACCTCGCACATGTTTTGCATTTTTATTTTTTGTACGACCAGATAGTTTTCCCGCTTTATCGGACATCATCGATAGTCCGAGATTAGTTGCAATGAATCAGGACCACTTGAAGAATGCGAAAAGCACGGCCAGAAGAATTGTAAGTAGAGTATGGCTTAAACCAAAGCCCATTTAATATGGAATTTTCCCTAGAGTCGTCTGCGCTCGTTGGGAATCGTTACGGTTGGAGCCGCAGCTTTAGTGGCGGGCATTTCGGCGTACAAAAAGCAGGACAAGTTGTTTCGCACATTCGTGATGCCCGCGGTTCGGCTGCTTCCGGCGGAGACCAGTCACCAGCTAGCCGTTCTGGCCTGCAAGTACCGCGTGTGTCCGGTGTCAAAGTACCAGGACGATCAGAATCTGCACACTCCGTTCTTTGGCCGGATGCTAAGTAATCCGATAGGAATCGCGGCGGGATTCGACAAGAACGCCGAGGCGGTCGACGGACTGAACGATCTAGGATTTGGCTTCATAGAGGTGGGCACTGTTACCCCGGCAGCCCAAGAGGGCAACCCTAAGCCGCGGGTCTTTCGGCTGGCGAACGAAAGGGCCATTATCAACCGCTACGGCTTTAATAGCGAGGGGCACCAGGCGGTGCTGCAGAGGCTGCGCACGCTACGCAACAAGGAGGACTTTAATGGAGTGGTGGGTGTGAATCTGGGCCGGAATAAGACCACCATGAGCCCAATTGCGGATTATGTGCAGGGCGTACGGGTTTTCGGTCCCTTAGCGGATTACCTGGTCATCAACGTGAGCAGTCCGAACACCAAGGGCCTGCGCGACATGCAGAACAAGGAGAAGCTGAGGGAGCTTCTAGAGCAAGTCAATGATGCCAAATCTAGCCTGGAAAAGAACAAGAATGTGCCCATCTTTTTAAAACTCTCGCCGGACTTGTCCCTGGACGACATGAAGGACATCGTGTGGGTTATCAAGCGCAACAAGAGTCGTGTGGATGGTCTGATTGTGTCCAATACTACGGTGTCGCGGGATCAGATTGAGAGCAATGAGCTGGCCGAGGAGGAAGGAGGATTGAGTGGCGCGCCACTCAAGGCTCGCTCCACGGAGATGATTGCCCAAATGTATCACCTAACAGATGGTAAGATACCCATCATTGGAGTCGGAGGTGTGGCTTCCGGTCAGGATGCCTTCGAGAAGATTGAGGCTGGAGCGTCATACGTCCAGATCTACACGGCTTTGGTGTACGAGGGACCCGGTCTCGTGGACGACATCAAGGAGGAGCTGTCGTCGCTGATTACCGAACTGGGACACACCTGTGTGGCCGACGTGGTTGGCACCAAGTGCAAGTTCTACCTTCCCAAAAAATGAAACGATAAAGAAAAACTTGGATCCTTAGTACTTTAATCGCTACATTCTTGTGTAACTAATCTGTTTCGAAACTATGCCTTCTGGTCTTTTTCGAAATAACCATTAAATCAATCATAATATTATCTATTGCCCTTGCGGACTTTCATTTGCCCGCTGCACAGTGAGGACCCGGCCCTCGAGGAAGTGGGTGTTTTGGTTGCATGCGCTGTTAAAGGCATCCCGTTGGCTGAACACCACAAATCCATAGTGCTTTGATAGTCCCACTTGCCGGTCAAAAACCACTTCCGCGTTGGCCACGTGCCCGTACTTGGAGAAGTATATCTTTAGCTCCTTGTTTCCGATCGTCCACGGCAAGTTGCCCACGAATAATTTGTAGCTGCTGCGCACAAATCCGCTGGACATGATTACGGATTTTGGATTTTAAAGCGGTTATTGAAATGGAGCATTGATAGCAAGGTGCCGTGCGCATCTGACAGTTGTGACGTCACTTTTGCTACTAATCTAAGTTGGTTAATTAAAACGGATTAGGATTCACTAATTAGTTATAAATTGATATTTTATATTTAAATAAAACGAAATTTGAAATCCGCTGGACATGATTACGGATTTTGGATTTTAAAGCGGTTATTGAAATGGAGCATTGATAGCAAGGTGCCGTGCGCATCTGACAGTTGTGACGTCACTTTTGCTACTAATCTAAGTTGGTTAATTAAAACGGATTAGGATTCACTAATTAGTTATAAATTGATATTTTATATTTAAATAAAACGAAATTTGAAATGAACATTATAAGTTTTTTTTTGTTTGATAACTGTGAACATTTAACAATGTAAATAAATAACCTAACAGTTTTTTTACCATGCAGGGTTGACTATCGGAAGTTGGCCGATAGGACTGCGGTGCACTATCGATAAACTGCAAATAATCTATGTTTCATCTCTAGGTCTTTTAAGTTTTGGTTGATATTTATGTAAATGTTTAGCGAAATCGCGGAAAAAGTGCATATCAGTGCGCTTGGTTGCTAATAAAAATAGTTGCGTTTCATCCGGCGAAGAGGCAATCGAAGGCGACCCACAAAACAGGCGATTGGAGGGCTGAAGGAAGCCCAAATCGACGCTTTGTATTCGGGGCGCGGCGCCTGCAGAAAACGGACAAAACATAACATCCTTAGGACAGGCACACAAAGGGACATCGATACTTTTAGCCAGCCCCGCACACAATGGCCGAGCGACCGAAAAATTTGTTTGCAAGTGAGTACTAAAGGGTTTTCGACCGCCTGCCCACGCATATCACACACATTCGGACAAGGAGGTACACAAACTTGTAGGGTGACGCATAGTTAGGGGAATCGGGTGCAGCGGTGATAAGCCATGGTACGCTGTAAATAATGACAATCTTCCTATATCTTACTCAGCTGGATCCAGTCGCTCACGCAATCCCCCAGATCAGCTCAGCCTGAATAACCTCAGCATTCGCCATCCACCCTCGTCCACATCGTCCACTTCGTCTGGATCGACCTCCTCGGGTTCAAGTTCCTCATCGCAGCAAAACCATGTGTCCCGTTGTTTTGGTGCCCAGCAGCAGCAACAGCAGATTCCTCCATTGGTCGGCAGTCAGGTACCTGCAGTCCCGGCGACTTCGAGCAGCAGCGCCGCCGATCGCCATCGTGAGCGAATTCGTCAGCAGGCCTGCGGGAAGCTACAGTTTGGCGAGGGCGCTGAAAACACACACACTTTTACTTCGGACGATCTCGAGGATGAGGGTGAAATCGGACGAGGCGCCTTCGGGGCGGTAAACAAGATGATTTTTAAGAAACTGGACAAGGTAATGGCCGTTAAGCGCATCCGCTCTACCGTTGACGAGAAGGAGCAGAAGCAGCTTCTCATGGATCTGGAGGTGGTCATGAAGTCGAACGAGTGCATCTACATCGTTCAGTTCTATGGGGCGCTGTTCAAGGAGGGCGACTGCTGGATCTGCATGGAACTTATGGACACATCGTTAGACAAATTCTACAAGTATATCTACGAGAAGCAGCAGCGGCACATTCCAGAGTCCATATTGGCCAAGATCACAGTGGCCACGGTCAACGCCCTTAACTATCTTAAGGAGGAGCTAAAGATCATTCATCGCGATGTGAAGCCCAGTAATATTTTGCTGCACCGACGCGGAGACATAAAGCTGTGTGATTTTGGCATTTCGGGTCAGCTAGTTGATTCGATTGCTAAGACCAAGGATGCCGGCTGCAGGCCCTATATGGCGGTAATTTAAGGATTTAAGCTTTCAAAAATGTTACTACAGTTTTGTGCGTTCTTTGCAGCCGGAACGTATTGATCCGGAGCGCGCCAAGGGCTACGATGTGCGAAGCGATGTATGGTCCTTGGGTATCACTTTGATGGAGGTGGCGACAGGCAATTTTCCATATCGCAAATGGGACTCGGTCTTCGAGCAGTTGTGCCAGGTAAGAGTAAAATCTATTCACCTAATTACAAGGTATGAGACATTGCTGTTAAGATACGACTATATCTATATCTATATATATCTATAATTTTGTTATTCATATTTGACAATACACTAATAACCATAAACTAAGTTTCGAAAACTTAAATAAAATAAATACGATTTATTATATTATTTATTTTATTTTAAAAGGTCGTGCAAGGTGAACCGCCAAGACTAATGACTTCCTACAACGGCATGGAGTTTTCCAAAGAGTTTGTGGATTTTGTCAATACTTGGTAAGCACCGGAGAAATTTGTAGAGAAAGATACTAGCATCTAACAATGACTTTACTTTTTAAGCCTGATTAAAAAGGAGAGCGATCGACCCAAATACAGCCGGTTACTGGAGATGCCCTTCATTCGACGTGGGGAGACGAGCCACACCGATGTGGCCGTGTACGTAGCTGATATCCTCGAATCCATGGAGAAAGACGGAATCACTCAATTCACGGCCAACCAGCAGGCGGAGAGTTAATCACCATATACAAAGAAGCAAGTCATAAAGTATCTAAGAATCAATAGCACCACAACAAAAGCAAACTAAGCAGAATGAGGAGCAGATAAAATTTAAATTGTTGTCTACTTTGTAGCATTCGTAGAAAACGTAGCGCATATTTTGTTAAAACGAAAAACAAAACTAAGCGAAAAGTGTGTAAGCTGCTTGAAAGCGAAATGTGTGTATAGTTTAAAGTCCCCCAAAATGCCTATTGTAATTCAATATTTTTTGTAATCGCAGTTTTGTGCGTTAAATTTTATGTTAAAAATAAAATTGTGTTAAAAATAGGCAAGCATCGGGTACAGTCGAGTATTTCGACAAAAAACTTGACAGTTTGGAACTCCCAGCTCAATGCCGTTTATCTTCAGTCAAACAAGCATTTTATAACCCTGTTGATTTATCTATCATTATAGATAATAGAAGACCAATTGGTAATGCATTTTGCGTTGATAAGAAACTATATGCGAAACTTAAGCAATATTTGTATTAAACTTCGTGGGAACGAAATTTGCAAAGGTTAACTACCCATACAAACTAACAGAAACACCAACACGCGTTTACGGAGCGTGAAAAATAGTAAAACAAAAACTACGGAAATATAAATTATTTATTAACCAGATTTTGTAATCCTATTGTATTTTTTAATTTGCATATATGAAAATGATTGTGAAAAGCTTTAAATAATTGCCAAGCGGCTGAGATGTTTAAATTGTAGTAGAAATTAATGCAGAAAATGCAAAATTAATCCCATAATATATGAAATAATTAGCCACAACACCAACACATCCACACACTACACACATATACACACGTTTTTATGCGTAGAATTTAGTCGTAAGCGAAGCAAAAAATATTTAGCAAAAGGTTACAGCTACAAAAAAATAAAAACAAAAAAAAAACAAGTCATGTGAAAACTGAAAATAAAACAAAATAAATGTATTGTGCCTAAGTATAAACCGAAATGATAAAACTCACCAAGAGAACTACAATTTAAATTTAATCAAAACTCATAAGCCATTTATAATCCCCTTAGCTTTTAAACCCATGCTTAAATCCCCGCAGAAAAATTCACAACCAAACAATTGCACCGTCTGAGTCCCCGTCTCAAAGCGAAAAAAACTAAAACCAATGTTTTTGATTAATATTTTTATGCAAGCGTCAATGTGAAAGCAAAGTTTATTTTGTATACATATATACAAGCGTAATATATTTGCACGGGTTGCATATAGTGTAAGCAAAGCAACAAAAGCCTGCAGCAATTTTTGTTCGTTTATCCAAGTTTGTTTGCAAATAAAATCCTACAGCTTGCAGCATTTAAAGCGGAAGTATATATTTTTATTGAGCCCACAAACATCCCAGAGTTTGCAAATAGACTTGTTAGGCAATGTTTGGCCATCCGAGGCTTGTTCGCCCTTTCAACGATATTTATATTAAATGAATATTCAATTTTTGAAAGGGGGAATATGCATTGGAGTAATCTAAGATGAAAGTTAATTAACATTCCATTTCGAAAACAACATTAGCGAAGGGCCTACGCCTCTGATGAAATAGTTTCTATAACTGCAGACTAAATATGACAATGGTGGTTTACTAACTGGCCACAAAGTTGAATTTAATCCGCTAATCACAAGGTGGTATAATTGTAAACAATTACCTAAGTACTTGGGCAGATCACTTTTGATATAAATAGAGGTAGAACTAATAATCATATTATACAACTCATGTGTAATGCCAGGAATAATGCAATCGCGAGTCGTCAATATTTTTGACAATAAATGGATAACTTATTTGTAAAGTGAGAAGAACTTAAAGTCCCCTGAGAGGATAAGGCAAGCATATAGGCATATGGATTGTGTATATATGGTAGATATACTAAGGACATATGACTGGCAAATATTTATACACTAATCTATGTACTATCTGCAAGTCAAGTACGGTCTAGTACTTGGTCTGTCAATCCCGAATTTGATTCCCAAGAGAAATTTAACACCAAACCCTCAAGATTGGCTTCCATTGATTCAAGGCCTTTGCATATTATAATATCGCAATTTATACCAAAATCTCTTAACTAAATCTAACCAATGACAAAACTGGAAACGCAACGTCCACAACAATATTAATATTTGCAAACTTTTAAACCTAGCTTACACATAAGAAGAGTGCTAAATTTCAGAATATTTGTGTGGACCCATTGTTTAGGTCCAGATCCTATGAAGAATCCATTGCAGAATCCGAGGAAGCTCACTCAACACTTAGCGCACTAAGTTTTACTAACTAATAACCCCGGCTTGTGTCTCTAACTCGGTGGAAACATAGTGGAATAAATAACACAAGGATAACCAAACACCGAAAGGAACCGATTTAAATCAAGGCAAATACACACAGATAAATAACATAGTACTGTTGAACAAAATTGAAAACGCAAACACCACAAATAAAAAAATTTGTAAAAATATTAATAGCAAATAAATATTATAATTTAAAAACTCAATTTATGCCTAATGGCAGTGTAAATGTTATTCGGAATTGTTTCGTTGGATTCGCTCACGCATCTGCTGTATCTCGACTACTTCGTAATGTGGGTGCTTTAATAACATTTATTTATTTTTAATTTGAATAAAGTATCAATTCTTTTTTTTTTAGTTCATATTATAATAGCTGAACGGTTTTTCAGATCCCAACATTTAGAGCACTATATAGTCAGGGTATTAAAAATCTGCGATTATCTAACGTATCTTTGGCGTGGTGCATATTATTATTGACTGGCATAATTTTGAGAGGCACGCGACTGGAATAAAAATCGCTGCCCAACCGAGAATCAACCCACATCGCGGTGGGCATGGAAAGCGCCGCATTAAAGCCGCAAATGCGTAATCCTCGGTTAGAAAAACATGTTAATATTCAAAGGTAGGTACAAACCCCTCTTTCGACCGATTTATAGCAAAATATCAGACGAAATGCAGGAAAACCAGATGAGTTGCGGTCGCAAAGCCGAGCGAGAAGGTTGCTTTCAGGAGCTAAGGCTTATACAAATCATTAAGTAAAAGTCCATAAAAAGGCCAATTAGTCTGGCCAAAGTTTTTGGCAGCAATTGACAATATGAGGTTGTCATATATATAGAAAACTGAATGAAGCTCAGAGCTGAGAAGATTCAGTCAGAATTCGAACGTTGTGCGTGGAGCAATTAAATTTCGGACTGCGGATAGGGGTTCAACGACATGCTGGCCTGCATCATTTTAATCGGCTGGCTGCTGCTGGTTTGGATATACTTCCTGTGGAGCCGACGAAGGTACTACAAAGCCGCCTGGCAGTTACGTGGACCAATTGGTTGGCCCCTGATCGGCATGGGGTTGCAAATGATGAATCCGGAGAGTAAGAGTGAAGGATATTCCTAAATGCCCTCGATAACTCAACTTTTTGCCAGCTTTTTGCAGTACACGGACGGCCTATCACGACAGTTTAAAGCCCCCTTTATATCCTGGATGGGCACAAAGTGCTTCCTCTTTGTCAACGATCCATACAGCGTAGAGCAGATATTCAACTCGACACATTGCACGAACAAAGGCGATTTCTACCGATTTTTGAGTTCGGCTATAGGTGACGGACTATTTACATCCAGTTCTCCGCGTTGGCACAAACATCGTCGACTCATTAATCCCGCCTTTAGTCGGCAGGTCCTCAGCAACTTCCTGCCCATCTTCAATGCCGAGGCTGAGGTCCTTATACAAAAGCTGGATCTTGAAGGAGTGCAGCATGGCAAGCGGCTTGAGATCTATCAAATCCTCAAGAAAATCGTCCTGGAAGCAGCTTGCCGTGAGTAGAAAGATTGTTTAAAAATCTTTTGCATTAGAACTTTATCTTTTGCAGAGACAACGATGGGCAAGAAAATGAATTTCCAGCACGATGGATCCATGGCTATATTTGAGGCTTATAATGGGTTAGGCGATTTTGATTTGAAAAGAAACCAAAACAGTTTACATATTAACTTGTTGTATAATTGTGAATCCCTTCAGGTTAACTGAAGTCTGTGTAAAACGAATGCTATCACCCTGGCTTTATCCGGAGCTTATATACCGGCGCTCTCGGCTTTTTGGTCTGCAGCAAAAGGTTGTCGGCATACTCTTTGGGTTTATAGAGCAGGTAGGCCGTTTATCCAATCGATTTCGACCCATGACCAACAGGTAACTTTTTCGGCAGCTACTCGAACCGATTGTTTCGGTGGTGGCAGCCAATGCTAATCCGCAGCAACGGCCACCGGAAACGGAATTGGAAATGAGGAGCAAGTCCAAGGCCATTTTTATCGAACAGGTGCGGGAACATGTGGAACGTGGCCAGTTGAGTTGGCAGGATGTGAGGGATGAGGCCAATGTGACCATTGCAGCAGTAAGTACAAGGACTATTCCAATTAATTTGTATTATTACTTTTTTAGCTTTACTTTATTTAAGACTTTTGAAACCACGTCGACCGCTTTGTACTTCACTATTCTCTGCCTGGCCATGCATCCTTGCTACCAGGAGAAGCTGCACGAGGAGCTTGTCAGGGAACTGCCACCCACTGGGGACATATCACTGGAGCAGCTGCAGCGACTGGAATACACTGAAATGGTGATCAACGAGGCCATGCGGCTGTTTGCTCCTGTTCCAATGGTCATTCGATCGGCGGATCAGGACATCCAACTGCTGCGGGATGACGGTGAGTTCCTGATCCCTCGTGGCACCCAGATCGGCATAGACATCTACAACATGCAGCGGGACGAGAGGGTTTGGGGTCCACTTTCGCGTACCTACAATCCGGAGGCACATTTCGGAGTGGATTCACCACCAAGACACGCCTTCGCCTTCGTTCCTTTCACCAAGGGACTGCGCATGTGCATCGGTTACCGATATGCCCAGATCCTGATGAAACTGCTGCTCTCCCGGATATTTCGCAGCTACCGAATCAGCACTGAGGCCCGGCTGGAGGAGCTCCTGGTCAAGGGCACCATCTCCCTGAAGCTACGGGACTATCCGCTTTGTCGAGTGGAGCGAAGATAACAGGAAGGATTACGGTTACGCCCCTCAAGTTGTTGCTGTAATTTTTCAATTAAAAATGCCATTTTATTGCATTTTCTCTGCCTGGGAAATTGAGTTTGTCTCATCTTTGCTGTTGACCTCGTTAACGACGACCCCTCCTTCCCTTGCACAAATTGCCAGCTTGCAAATGGCTATAATGGATTTCAGTTTGCACTTGTTCGTGCTCACCCACAACTTTGCAGCATGCGTTGCGTATACGTAGCATAATTGATTGAATTCCTTGGGAGTCTGGCTTATGGACGGACGCAGGGCTATCTGTTGCAATTGAGAGCTGGTCAAGGTTCCTGTCCACCGAGAATTTACCAAAGTGGTTGCAAAAAGGATTGAACCGTTGCACAAATTTTTCACATTTCATTCATTAAATTGGAAATGGGCCGGCATCTTTATAAAGTTTTAAAGCTCTAATTGGTTGTAAAAGCTTGGTCGATTTAGCAAATTTGATATTTATACATACATATTTACTTATTATTGAACTGGAAAAACCCCAAAATTTTTTACAACCTTTAATAGTCAATGGAGAAACATATATTTTAAAATAAATTATTCAAAAGCATACTAGCACTGTATTTTGTATTTATAAACTGGTTGCTTATCTACAATGTGACGTCATTTGTTACGATCAACCAGTAGTCGTCTCGCTCGCTCGTGTGCACAAACTGCTCATTGGCCGCACATGGTTTCAACCTTCGATAGCTCAGTTGGTAGAGCGGTGGACTGTAGTTGGAAACATATGCAATAGAAATCCATAGGTCGCTGGTTCAAATCCGGCTCGAAGGATTTTTTGTCATTTTTTTTCCAATTTGTTTAAGTCTTTTAGTATACAATAAAAATGACAAAAAAGATAAGTAAAAAATGTATAAAAATAGAAGTACTATTTTTAACTATTTGTAATAAATTAAACTGATAAATGCCTCTGATTAATTAATCCGCATATATCTTTACTTATCTGATAGCTGGAGTCCCGATTCACAACAACGTTTCTATCTCGACGTCCCTCACCGACCTTCGATAGCTCAGTTGGTAGAGCGGTGGACTGTAGTTGGAAATACAATCAATAGAAATCCATAGGTCGCTGGTTCAAATCCGGCTCGAAGGATTTTTTGTCATTAATAATATTTTTCTCTATGTTTCATACGTATTTCTTTATTAATATATTATTTTAACCGCTTTTATTGCTGATTCAACCACTCTATTAGAATTTCGAAATAATTTAAAGAAAATACTCAACAATACTAGCTCATCCACAGGTCTGGTCAACTGACCTTGTGCTTTTTGTCGTTTTAAATTACTTAATGATTGACTTGTTGCAAAAACGATTTATCAACACTTTGCTGAGGTAATAATTCTATTTGCGGCCCCCCACACCTCAACAATTTCCCTCACCACCCATGACTCCTGACAAACGAATAGATTGCTGTCTGGGCAGCCAGCTTCCAGCCACCATTTCACTTCAAGCTCCACTGCCTGCAACGAAATATGCATAATTCAATAGGAGGAGCTGAGTCCTTGCCAACGTGAATCCTGCGGAATAAGGAATAAGAAGGGGGAAGCCCCTCGCCGGGAGCTGAAAAGTATGCAATAAGCGATTGCGACTCGTTAACGCTTCAAAATACAGCGGAGATGGACGACGTGGTTTACACAGCTGTGTGCACAATAATAGTAAGAAAGGATAGAAAACGGAATAAAATTAAAGAAGGATTTATTATAAATTAGAAAAAAGGGTATAAATGTAAATACAATTAACATTTTTTATAAATAACTATTCTTTAGTATGCTATTTAATTGAATACATACATATGTATTTACAATTTGGTAGAGTATCTGCCAATGAGGATGACTCTGTAATCACAACATTAATCTAATACGCGTGTTTAGTGCGGCCTGGCGGGCATACAACTTAATAATAGCTTTCCTAGCGCCTTGCAATAAGTAATTAAATCATTTACAACAAATCAAACTGGCTGGAGGACAGGACGAAGGACGAGAAACTGCTTCGCTTGGTAGGCAAATAGTGGGCAGGGCTCTTGGCGTGGCTTATTATTAATGAGAGAAACTTTTGCAAGTTTTCAATTAGTTACGCTCCCCTCCAGCGAGTTGGCGCATAATCAAGACAAACGCTGGCTCATAATAAAATATTTAGTTGGATTTCCTTGGCGAGTCGCCGTAATTGACTGGCCAGCAGTTGTTTGTATAACCAGCCGAGACGTTGCTCGGTTTTAGATTCGGAGTCGGATTCGGATTCGGTTCGGTTGATTACTGTGTTACTTGCTAACCGGCAAAGGTCTGCTAATCCGAGTAGACAGCCTGCATAATGTGATTAATTGAATATTAGGGCAGCCAGGTGCTTAAATGCCACAGCTTGGCTGTCTGGCACCCAGTTTACCTGTTCACTATTCACCTGTTGTCCTTTTGGCTGCAGTCAAGGTCTCCAATTTCCACGTCAACTGATTCTTTCAATTGCACACTGACGACTTTGTTCGCCTGAATACCAAATCAGAATTTAACGAGCACATATTTCGAACGCTAATTGGAAGGCATTTCATTTACATTTACATATTCTTCTTGGACTTAAGCTACAACAAAGATATGAACGAGGGTCAATCGGCCGGTTAACCTATTCTTCTGATTTCTATTAAACATTTCAATTTACTTGTCATGAAGAAAAAATATATATATTGTATTCTCCTCTTGTAAGCTGAAATGATATTAATTTACGTGTTATAAAAGCTCTAATACTTTCGCCTAGACCTTAGATCTTTTCTTTTTGATATTTAATCCGTGGAACGCCGGCCTATGTTCGTTTTTCTTTGTTTGTCTAAAGGGCGGTTTCCTTTTAATCAACCACAATTAATTGTAAATCGCTTCTGACACTTCCAACCGCAGAACAGGTAACCCTTGACTGAGTTTTGCCAATGCAGCTTCTCTATAGTCGCGTGTGCTCGGGAGGATTTTGTTTGCTCGGTCGTGGGCGTTAATTACAGTGAAACATTTGCGAAGGCGCCCGCAGGAGGACGGGGCCTAAACAATAATAAAGCAAACACATTCTCGTGGCGGGGAATTCCCCCAAAACCGCATTAACAAGCAGCTGCTGCTGCTGCAGATCCCAGCCAGTAATTAAGTTTACTCTCGTTTTACGAGACACGCGCCAAAAGCAAATCCCTGCCACATTTACTAGGACAACAGACCACAGAACGAGGAAAAGGCGGTGGCGCCTCATCAATGTGTTAATGCTAATTGTTATTGTAGTTTCGGGGCGGGTGGCTGCCAGGGGGCGTGGCAAAAGGGATAAAGTGCCACCGCTTACCTCAAATTGAATTAGCCTCATATGTGGCCTGTCAGTTGAGACGGTTTCCAAGTTGCAAACTCAATTTGGCAGGTCGAAAAGTTTAGTTTTCACTTGCCAAAAAAAAAAAAAGTGCCGCCCGACCGCCGAGCTTATACTTGGGACATTTTGATCGTGGTGGGAGCTCAACTATTTTCTGGGGGGCGCCAAGCGAAATCAGAGCGAAAATATTTAGCAAAATTGCATTAGAAACTTTTTTGCCAGGCGGCACAAAATTGCCGAACAAAACGACCTAACAAACTGTGCAAATTCAAGTCAAGCCTTCGAGGGATGTTAGCTATGCGAGTCGAGCATTTGTACTCCGGCAGTTTATGTTCATCGTATCAGTTGCCAACTCAACTTAAACTTTAAAGAATCTGCTGTATTCTCTCCCACCTCTGGGGACAGACTTATTCGAGCCTTAACCCACTGATACCCTGAAGGAATGTTAGATTTTGAAAGTTCCTGTGAATTTATTTAAAAGTAAAATAATTCATAAGTGTATAATTGCGATTTGAATGCAATGCATAAATCTGTAGAACAAAATTTAAAACAAATAATAAACGGAATCAAATTAAAATAAACTTAAAAGTTTTTCTATTAATACCAAATGGTTTTCCATGGGGTTAACGGGGTCTCATAAACGGGGAAATGTGTTGAACCTTCGCCTCCCCCGAGAGAAGAAAGTTTTTCGCTTGTTGTTTGACAAATTGTTTTGTGCAGCGGCCGAAGGAAATAAAAGGCAACATTCGACTGTAAAGCGGATGAGGAGCGAAGGGGGTGGAGTGAAGGGGAGGGGGAGGGGGCGGGATGACTGGTTGGCGGGTTGGTAGGACAACAGACGAGAGACTTGGCCATCAATGTGTAATGAATGTGGGCGGGGAATCGAAGCGAGAGCAAAGTTTAAAGCGCGAACAAGAGCGGCAAAAACAATGACAGGCGTTGCCAGCAGCCAGACCTCTTCCGATCCTGTTCCTGTTTCCCATTTCCCATTTCCCATTTCCCACTTTCCACTTCACATTTTCATTTTATTTTCCGCTCTTCCACCAGCTTTCCTCTTTATGCCCTTTCTGTGTGAGCTACAATCAATTATTTGCCTTTCCATAAATAACTTTTCACTGGAAAGTTACATTTTGAAAACTAAATATTTGTAAAACATTCTTACTTATTTTGCAAGTCAAGAAAATCATTTTCTAGCGACTGGTAAAAAAGGGTATTTTAGGCCTCGGCTTGCATGCTTTATTTTTCTCCCGTTCACAGCGAGTTGGGAAACTTTTGCTGTTCTCTGTTTAACGTCGCCCTGCGGCTGCAGTGGCGCATAAATTAGCAAACATGAGGCGAGAGGAGTGCGTGACTGAAGGACCCTTTGGCGGGGGTCCTTCCAACACAGCACCACCCACCATCCGCCATACAAATGGCCAACTGATTGACTCTCCTGGCCCGCTTTTTCGCATTTCCCGGTTGTCTGGCGGCAACAAATTAGCGATGTCCGTGTGGTCCACTCCGGCTGCCCGGTGCCTGCCACCTGCCCCTGCAACACTCAGTTGCAATTACCGAGTTTGGCTCCGCCAAAAAATTGGCCAGCGCAATTAATTAAAAAGTTTGATGCACAATGCAATCGCATCCTGCGGTTCTGCCAGGTTCCAGGTCCTCGGAAATTCGGTTTAAATAAACTGGTTTGGTAGGTTGGGCAAAGCGCAAAGCTCAAAAAATATTTTTCCAGGTGGCGGGGAATCTATTTTATTTTCATACGTTGCGACATTTAATTAAAAACTCTGCGCTCGCCAGGTGCTGCCAAAGCAAAATGTATGCATCCCCTTTTTTAGTTTTATTTTATTACCGGATTACTGGAATATATAATGAACGAGTGTTGAATTGTGTTAGTCTGCAAAGCGAGTGGGCTGGACGCAAAGATTAAATACATCAGGAGATTTGCAGCAAAACTATTTCAATCAATTTTGGCCAAACAAAAAGAACTTCAATAAATCCCTAATTCCTAAAAGTTTATTTACAAAGGTTTTTTTTTGCTATAAAATATGAATAATTTTGTAATAATTCAGTTGTGTAAGCAAAAAATTAAAGGATGGCCATGAATTAAAATTGCCATAAACATTCAATGCAAATATTGTTGTTATTAAAAGAGCTATTCAGGTAAAAAATACACCTCCTGCGATTGTAATTAAAGCTGCGCCACAGAACCTGAAAATCTTAAAAGTAATTTCTTTTGCTATGAGTGAAATTGTATCTCATTCGCTGTCTCCGCGCCGAGTTGCCTCATTTCTTTGTTGTAATTTTCATAAAAATTATGCAGATTAAATGTGGCAGGCAAGTTTGTTTCGCCGGCGAGTGACATTAAACTCGCATAAGGCGCATGGCGCATGGCGCATGCCGCATCGGCGGAGACAACAAAGATGTCTAAATAATAAAGGCAACCTGAGCTGTTGTGCCACGTCGCACAAGTTGATTGAATAAATCACAGCAGGTGAGTTCCACTCGAAACAACTCCCGACATGCGTGAGAAACGGCTGACAGACTGGAGAACTTGAGAGATTGGGGCCGCATGCATATATAATATAATGAAACCGACTGACACGTAAGTCGCAGTGCCCAGGATTCGCAGGATTCGGGATGCGGAGTGGGTGACTGTAAAGTTTCATCATTTACGGCCCGGCAACAATTTGGACAAGTAGCTGCCAAGCGGCAGAGATAACTCAGACATAAAGCCGCAGGCCATATCAGAGCCCCATTATGCCAACAGTGTGTAACAATTTCTGGAAATAAAACGAAGGACCTCCCCGGGGAATTAAATTAGCTCGCATTTATATTGGGTGACCGGGCGAAAGTTGTGCACCCAAATCGCTGCAAATACACTTGTCAAAGTCAGGCACTCGCAAAGTATTTGGTTGAGCTAATTGCATGTCGCCGGGGGCTAATTAAATACCGAAACCTTGCTGGCAAAACTAATTTACATGATCACGACACGCCGACATATGGCTGCTTTTTGCCACCTGCAAGGAGTGCGAAGTTCACCCGGCAATTAGCATTTTCTATGAGCCATTTCACCCGTTTCCTTTCATTCGATTCGATTCTCGAACTCTCGAATGTTGAATGCCACGCTCTGGGGCAATTAGGCGTGGGTAAGAGCCTTTATGGATTATCACACTCACATTCGATAAATGCAAATGCGCGGCAATTATTTCCAAGGATATTTCCATCGCCCGAAGGTCAAGTTTGACATTACCCGTAATGAAAAATGGCGTAATGACAATAATGGGTTAAAGTGACTGGATACAATAAAAGACGCAATAGGAAATTGTCTGCGGTTGGGGTTTGAATATGTGTTTTTATTGCAGGTGGATTGCAATAGATATTTTATAATGGTCTAATTATTATAATTATATCATTAAATCATTGTATATCAATTGTGGGAACTTTTTTGAATTTATAGAGTATGCTCTCATTAAAAAATAAGAAACCTTATTATCATAAATCCTAAAGGCAACTAATTGAAGAGTACAATTATACTTTGTTGTGCGACTTAAGCTTTGTAGTTACAAACAGTGAGGAAACTTTTACAAACTTTTTAAAAGTCATTTACTGGGTTAATTATGAGCCACGCCCACCCAGTCACCTTTTATTGCAATAAACCTAAGCAGACAATGATAAACTCTTCTTCGGCTTGTAATTCAACCTTGAACTCATTGTAAATTATATTTTGTAAGTACGCTTCGTGTGAATCCAGGTTTTATGTATCGAAATATTCGCCAACTCGGCGGAAAGTTCTTTCGGGGCAATTAGGCTTAGTCGGTTAATTATTAGCCACGCCCACCCAGACACCTCGTCGGGAAAACTTTTAAAAACTCATTAATGCATAAATTTAGGGGCCCTTAAATAGCAGTCCCGAAGTACTGAAGCCCACCATAAGTAGTTCGAATCGAGCTGAGATCGCGGAAAAGCCAGTCGATGGCCAGTCTTCAGTTCCACGGCAACGTCGATGCGGACATCAGATATGATATTCACTTGGATCCGGCGAGGGAGCGCAATCTCTTCGGGTTGCTGAAGTTCCTCCAACTGGCGATGGGCATGGAGCCGTTTCCCCGGCTGCCCAAGTGGTGGCCAAAGTGGCTGCAGCTGGGCGGGAATCTGCTGGCCAAGGCTTACTGCTCCATGGTGATATTCACCTCGCTGCACTTGGGTGTCCTGTTCACGAAGACCACGCTGGATGTCCTGCCCAGCGGTGAGCTGCAGGCCATAACCGACGCCCTCACCATGACCATAATTTACTTCTTCACCGGCTACGGCACCATTTACTGGTGCCTCCGCTCCCGGCGACTCTTGGCGTATATGGAGCACATAAACCGCGAGTACCGACACCATTCGCTGGCTGGCGTGACCTTTGTGAGCAGCCATGCCGCCTTCCGCAAGTCCTGGAACTTCACGGCCGTGTGGATAATGGCCTGCCTGCTGGGCGTGATCTCCTGGGGCGTCACGCCATTCATCCTCGGCATCCGGATGCTCCCGCTGCAGTGCTGGTACCCCTTCGATGCTCTCGCCCCCGTCACATATTCGGCGGTGTACGCCACCCAGCTCTTCGGCCAGGTCCTCGTCGGCCTGACCTTTGGCTTCGGGGGATCGCTGTTTGTCACCCTCAGTCTCCTGCTGCTGGGACAGTTCGATGTGCTCTTCTGCAGCCTGAAGAACATGGACGCCCATGCCAAGTTGCTGGAGGGCGAGTCCGCAAATGGCCTGAGGTTGGTACTCAAATATGATAAGTTCACAACGGCTACAAAACGACACCTCAAAAAAAAAATATAAAGTTATATATATGAAGTTTTATTGTCCAAAAGGTATATACAAAACGAATAACAAAAGTTAATTCGTGTTTAAATTAGTACAACTCAAATTAGAGAAAGCTAAACTCTTTTTATTTTACATTCTTTATTTGAGAGTTTCAGCTAATAATATTTTTTTTCAGCATGCTGCAAAATGAGTTACTGCTGGAGGACTCAACTAGAGAACTGAATCAGTATGCCGTGCTGCAGGAGCACCCGACTGATTTACTGGTGATGTGTGCAGGACGTAAATGTCCTGGCAAAGGAAATGTATTCCACAGCGCCTTGGTGGAGTGCGTCCGTCTGCACCGCTTCGTCCTGCATTGTGCCGTGGAGCTGGAGAACCTGTTCAGTCCGTACTGCCTGGTGAAATCCCTGCAGATTACCTTCCAGCTCTGCCTGCTGGTGTTCGTGGGTGTTTCCGGGACTCGAGAGGTCCTGCGGATTGTCAATCAGCTGCAGTACTTGGGACTGACCCTCTTCGAACTGCTGATGTTCACTTACTGCGGCGAACTGTTGAGCAGGCACAGTATTCGCTCCGGCGATGCCTTTTGGAGGGGGGCGTGGTGGAAGCACGCCCACTCAGTCCGCCAGGACATCCTCATCTTCCTGGTCAACAGTCGACGGGCGGTTCACGTGACTGCCGGCAAGTTCTACGTCATGGATGTGAATCGTTTAAGATCGGTAAGGAAACATTTAAATATCTAAAAACTACATTACCTAAAATCAATTTTATTTTTCAGGTGGTAACACAGGCCTTCAGCTTTTTGACTTTGCTGCAAAAGCTGGCTGCCAAGAAGGCCGAAACCGAACTCTAAAATGGAACCACACTCGTTGAAGTCGTTCACGTTGTACACGTTGATATTTATTCTGCACATTAAAAACAAGTCGAGCAAAATGCTAATAATATTTGCGTTTCCGCGTCCCAATGTTTACCCAACATTTTGCAGAATGAGCAGATGTCAGTCCACCCACTTTTGGTCTTAACGAACCTCCTCAAAAAGAGGCTCTAAGTCCCATGTCTTTTTTGCCTTTGGCTTGTCACTGATAAACAGCCCTTTTCCCAACAATTTTTGGAGGAAGTTGCCATTTGAAAAGTTCAAACATTCTGCAGAGCGATAATTAAATGCTCTTTTGAGTGTAAGAAATGTAAACTATTCTCTACTTAAAACTGATTTATGAAATAAGTTTTCCTTTCTCATTGTGCATTAAATTATGTTTCAGCAAGTTTAGTAACATTTTCTGTTTCTTGAATATTTTATAACAAGACTCAGGCTGTATGAAGTATTCCTTTTGAGAAGTCGGAATTTAAAGAGCAGCTAATGTACCCATTCAAAATTGGCCTTGTCGCGATGCCTTCGCGTATCTGTTGAACAAAGTTCTCAGATTTCGTAAGAAGCCTAAAAGTCGTCTTTAATTTTGCGATTGCACGTCGTACGCACAGAAACTTATGGCAAAGTTTTCAACTCATTTGCGCTTTGCATTTTTCATTGTGTCGCAGACACAAATACCCAGCAACCCAGGCACCCACATAGCGAAAAGTTTCTTTCTTTGCCCGGTGACTTGCTATAACTTTGGATCCGGGCGGATCGGGGAACCGAAGGTGGCAGTGGAAGTGGATGTAGATGTGGATGCGAAAGTAGATGTGGATGTGGATGTGAATGGATGGATGTGGGGGTCTGAGGAATGTGAATGGGGCAATGCTACGTGTGTATTTATAGAGAGTCATTTGTTTCAGTTTTTGCCGCCTACTTTGGGCGCCCGTCGCGCTTAGATGATTACCTTTTTGTTCGCTTTGTATTGTGCTTTTTGTGCTTTAGCTCGGTTCGGTTTCGTTAGCGGAAATGCCTTTCACTTTCTCCACTTCCGCTCTGCCACTCTTACACTCTCCTCCTTCGACGCTAACTACCTTTATGCGTGTCTGCCTGAGCCAGCAGGACATTTATATGACACGATATTTGATAAGCGCACTGCCGAGTCGCTCAGTCGCAGAGTCGCAGAGTCGAGCTGCCCGGTCCGCAGACAAATGTCCTGCCATATTTCCCCCGCAAATGCCACTCGATGTCATGGCAATGGGAGGCAGGCCATCGTCAAAGGACAACGGCGACTGAAAAAGCTCCCGGTCTCCAAGGGATTTGCTGGCGAAATAATGCATTCAATGGCAGGGGCATTTGCATCGGCCTTCGGGCAAATCCCACAAATGGGCACTTAAGCTGGGACAATGATTACCAGGATAAATCAAACCATCTGTAGCCATCGAAAGCATTAGTCGGGATCACAAAACTAATTTCAAATGCTAATCAAAGGAATAAATTAACCAAAAGGTACAAAAAAACCTTTTTGCTTGAATAACCTTCTCATTTGAATATTAAAAGTTATATTTTTAGTACAGCATAGCTAATCCCCTTACTGGATTCAAATTATGTCAACTCAAATTATTAATAACACTGAATCTTTTCAATAGCAAACCTCTTTCAGCTACAATTTATTTATAATGAATAAACCATAGTGAAAAGCGTTAGGGTTTTATTTTAAAACCTGCTAATGACTTTTATTCTGTTTCAGCCCATTAGGTTCGCATAAAAACTTTCTGTGTGCGCAAAAACTAATTCAATTTTAAACCGAAGCTCCTGGAGAGTGAATTAAAGTTGAGTGAGTGAATGAAAGCCGAGCTCCCCCTCAGATTCTGTCCAACACTCTGTCATTGGCCTGGCAATGGGCCAGCAAAAAGCGTCTAGAATGCCCGCATAGAATTGACAGGATCTAGCCACAGGCATTGCTGTCAATATAACGCCACTCTGCCTCTCAGCCGAAAACTGAAAACCGAAAACTTTGAAATAGTCTCGTGAAATTGAATTAACACAAAGGCACGCCGTGTCAACTTTTTCGGCAGACAGCTGGCGGTATTTTAATTGAAAGCAATCAATATAGGTCTACTCACACTCACACTCACACTCAGACTTTTCCCAGGGAAACTGGAGGCCGAAGCTCTCTTGGGAAAAGAATGATTCTAAAATTTGCCACAAAGTGTCTGTTAATTTCGACAATAAAGTAAATCAAAAACTTTTTTACACTCGCATTTAAAACGAGTGTTTTTTTAGTATTTTATTTAATTGGTTTTTATTGGCCTTAAGTGGATTAATTAAATATCACTTGAAAACAAAAAAAGCCAGCAGTTTTTCAACAAATGTATTTCAATTGCGCTTTACAACCCGAACGTCAACACTCGAAACCCTTGTAAAACTAATTTGTTACAAAGTATTACTTTCGCTCGGTGTTGAGTGGCATTATAAATTCCATCTTGCTATCTGGCTGTTGAGCTGTTGAAATGAACTCTGATTCAATTCACACTTCAACGAGGACCTGGCACCTGTCAAAACGATGTTCCATTATCATTACGGGGGCGGTAATCTAATCACGAAGGCCCCAACTGCCGATGCTAGCGGGGTCGGCCGTTGTGGGGTAATTTCATTATTGCTCCATATTATATTTGCATGCTGTCCCCATTTAGGCGGGTAATTCTGAAACTCGGAGGCCAATTGCCTTCGCATTGTGCAACATGTCGCATACGCAATGTCGGCCAGCCCACACAAAGGTAAATAGGGTTTTGTGGGCGGGCGTTTGCCTTTGTCGTCGAGTTGATGCTGTCACATAAATTGCAAGCGATTTAACCGCCGGGCTTTCGCCTCTGGCCAGCACAAAGGAGTCCCCCCGAAAGTCACACACACGCCACACGCCGGCTGAAACAAAACAAAGCCGCATATAATTTCCCATTAAGGCGAGCCTTGTGGGTGGTGGTGAGTGGATATCCTTGTTAACGGCTTCTTTACCTGCTCGCCAATTTGCCAGCCACATTCAGATGCAGGCTTTCAATTAGCCGCCTGCAGCGTTCCCCCCATTCGGTGTCTTTGCCACGGAACGGTTCCCAAATCCACGTCGGGAGTTTCCAAATCCCAAGTTAATTGAAAACCTTGAAAAATGTATTTTGCTTTAAATAAAAAATTCAAGTGTTGAAATTTAAAATCAACAAAAAATAGGGGAATTCCTTTAGTAAAAAATGAGAGGTTAACTCAAATACTGTAATCGAAACATATTTAATTTCTGCCAAAGAAAATATAGGTTTTATTTAACTTTAAATTTAATATTTACCATTTTGGGAACACTGGCATGTCTCTTTGCCCCTTCGATATCATCCTCCCATTGTTAACGTCTTGCTATTTGATTGTGATTCGCCATAATGTGACTATAGTCTGATGGCCCATACAGTACAGTGGGGCAATATGTGTGTGGGCTGGCTTTTCGCCGCAAAGCGGCTTTAAAATGTTGCAGAATTGCAGGGCACTTGGCGAAAGGAAAGGAATTGCTATTGAGTCTTTTGTGCTGATGCAAAGAGCCAATCGAAATGGGCATAAAGTGCGCAACAAGCGACATGGAGCAGCATCTGGGCCATAAATCAATGCAATCAATGTACACAGTTTTCATGGCAGGTGGCTTGATTTTCCCATTTCCCTACTGCAATATATACTATGCATATACGTATGTATGTCGGTGCGATTTCATGTCCATTTGGTTGAAAGCCAAGGGTAAATGGGAATCTGCAGCAACTGCGGCTTTTCATACCCTGCACTCCCACACGAACTGCACATAAACTGTTGGCAATTGAACACAAGGACTGCGAAATCCCATTACACAATCAGTCTTGGCATTCAAAGCAAGTGGTCTGCAAAAACTGATTTTAGGTTCCACTTCTGATGCCTTTATGCAAAGGGCTATCTTTTGATACTTTTATTGAAGCTATTCAATGGCTTTTAGTTGCCTTTCACATATGGAATTACCTCTCCTGCCAAGCAAGTCAAAGTATTTGTTACTTTGTTTCAGTTTGTAGGGTACTAATTGGTCGATTGCCCACGGCCTGTCTGTCTTTTTTTATCCGCGGGCAAAAATATTTTAACGCCCACTGCGGCTTTACTTTCTTTTGTTGTTCCGCTGATATGCGCGACCAATAAACAAACAAAAGTGAGTGGAATTTTTCGCTGTAGGCCGTGGACTTGAGTGCAGGATAGTCCCCCGACTTTTGCATTCACAAATATTTACAAAAAGAGAACTTTCATCACCCGCACCTTTGAGCACACACATATGCAGATTAAGAGCCCAGATGAAAGTGCTTCAGAGTTTCGGGAACGCTTTGCATTTTGGCTGCTCGCCGGCGCTCTTGGCCAGAAAGTTCAAGTTGGCGGCGTTGTCGCTTCGCACAAAAAACGTTTATTATGGTAACTTTTTCCTCAAGTGAAGGGGACTGTTTTCCCCAGCGTTTTGCGTTTGCCACAAGGGAAAGGGGCAACGGGCAACGGGCAAAGGGAATCCATTAAACGGCCTCTTCGCCATTTTGCGCTACTTTACGAGCCCTTAAAGCTGCAAATAAAATTAAGAGATGCTGAGTAGTCGCTATTTTGACTTTGGCCATTTTTTACTGATTTTTGTTTTGCTTTTTTCCGCTTCAGCTTGCCACTTTGTTGGGAGATTTGCTCTGCGCATTCCGCGAAATTCTGCGGCCTCGTGAAGCACAAAATTTGTGTGGCATTAGCGTGCATTAATTTGTCAAGTTTCCGGGAATAATTATCATTATCGCTTTGCCTGTGGCACTAATGCAGCAAACTCGGTTCTGTTTGGTTTGACGCCTGAGTGCCGCCCACATTTCAATTGAATGTTGCCCACAGCGGCCAACTGGTCGTATACGCAATGTCGTTGGAGTGGACAAAACGTGGGCAGCGGAAATAGAATCGCATTGCAGCTGTATCCCAGGCTGTCGCTTGATTCCATGTCGGTCTTCTATTTTCATTTGCCGCCTTTGTACTACAGTTCTGAACATTCCTTGGATTATGTGCCATTAGGTGGCGTTTATTTTTAGAAGAGCTTTGCGATTTACTGTGATACCTGACCACAGCATTTTTGTGTAAAAATATAAAGTAGGAGATCATCAGCCCACACAGTTATTTTTCACGAATAATTTTCAGGGTATTTCACGCTCCATAAAACCATATATAATTCTACCATGGTGGGAAAAACAAACTGCCTCGAACGCAGCTCGCTTAATTGAGTGGTATTTCGTATGGATATCGATGCGTGGGCTCTTTGTTTCGCCATCATTGCTTTTATTGGATTCCATGTGAGCGTTTCCTTTGAGGTTTTTTTGTGCCTTCATCAGTTCGGCTCGACTGATTGACTGAATCGTTATCACTACCACTTTTATTGCCAGTAAAGGAATAAAGTTGTCCAGTAAAAGTAAGTGGCGGGAAGTTGTTGTAATGCACATTTAATACAAATCAAATACAATGAGAAAACATTTTTCATAAATCATAATACATTATAGCTAATATGTTTCACATATTTCTTTATCTACGTTTCAGTGTCTTTGACTTAGATTAGGAAGGATTCGCTATGGCTATCGTAAAATACACACTTATACATGGGGATATGTCCTTTATTTAATACATCAATTTATCTGTCTCGGGGAAATCAATTTTGATTTATTTAGCTTATATGCAAAACAAACAAGCAACATGAGCTTGGTCTTCGGTTATTTCTCTAAGTTCTCTTACAAATTCGAAAGTTTCGCAGTGTGGAAACCATAAGTTTGACCCTTGGAAAATGCTCTTTGTTACCCATTGTCTGTTGGAGGTGTGTAATAGTTACTTTTTTTCATTCGATAATATGTTCTATCTGTCCACAAATCACAAGACATCCTGATCAAGCTACGCTATAATCTAATCCGATCAGGACTTAAATCACTGTCTTAAGCTAAACACAATTAATACATAACATGATTGTTGGTGGTTGAAGTATTTACAAGAGTTACTTATTCCATAGATCAGTTTACGTTTGGAGTTTGCATCTGCGAAATGCCACTCGTTACGACTAGGACTACTGGTAAAAGCGTTTTGTCACAATGCTCCCCTTTTTTGATTTACTTCATAAATCAAACTACAATTTACAGTACACTAACGTCTTAGTAGTTAGTATTTAGCGCTCAAAACACCGATTACAAGTTACATTAGTTTGCTGTGAGTTTGTTTTAAATTCGTTTTAAACTTATGCTACCGTGTAGTTGTTCTAGGTTGTGTGTGCTTCAGACAATGTTTTGATGCAATGCGTTGAGTATTTTCCACTGTCAAATACTTGTCTATTGTGTACGATTTTGCCTCTTAGAAAGTTTGAAAACTCTCCAACTTTTTAATCAGATCAATAAAGCCGGAAAAGTTTTAGTTAACGTTTAGAGAGAAGTTCCTTGCAGTGTACTTAGGCTTTGAATTTGTTATGGCCATTTTGTGTTGTGGAAGGACCGTTTGAAAGTTGTTTTGGAGAAAACTTAAAATATAAAAACATCCTGTTTAAAAGTGGTAAATATATTCTGATTATGAATATTTCTGTGAAAATAGAACAGATAAGGGAAATCAAGAGAAGTTTCTGATGACTTCTATTTGCAATAGTTTTTTTCAGGGTATTTGGCTTTTGCCACATAAGTTCTCCTGCTAGTTTTTTTTGTTTTCTTGCCTTCGAAACGAGCATATGTTGCAGAGTCAGCGGAAGGAGTGGTGTTGAAGGAAGCGGAAGTGGGTTCAGGACCTGCCCAACGACTGTCTCTGACGGCCTTTGTTGTTTGCCCGCCGGCCTGCCATTAAAGTTCAATGAAGTTCCCCGAGTGCGACACTTTGCGACCCGAGGACCGCGACCTGCCTTCTGCCTTCTGCCTTCTGCCTTCTCGTTTCTGCCTTTTGCCGGGGATTCAATGAAGTGGAAAAAATATTTCCGCCGGCGATAAAATTGCTATAAATTTCCAAGTGCCACGGGGGCTTCCTTATGTCTGTCCTCAGCATTTTCAGTCGGCGACATTCGCCGAAGTTCGGGGGCGCTAAAAATTTGTCAGCGAAAATGGTACAAATTTTGCCGGCTGTTTGTGAGGTGTCATCGAGACAGGCCCTTTGAGTGGCTGCCACTAATGGCGTCATTACCTATCATTTGGCCCCCTCCACCGAGGAACCGCTCATCTGGGGCTTTAAAACTTGGCAGCACATTGGAAACTTTCATCCGGCTTTCGTTATTACAGTTGGCCCCTTGTTGTTTGATGTCCTTCAGGCAGCTGCTCCGGCTTTTCTCTGTTTTTTTTTCCCATCCCCCTTTTTTTTTTGTTTGCGCTTAGCCTCTGGATTGTACCTCCTGGCCTCTGGGAACCTCGTCTACATCCGCATCCGCGTCCACATCCACATCCACATCCACATCCTGACCGTCAAATTCTTACGTGACCAGCTGAAATTTTTCATTTGGCCACAGAAATAAAACAAAATGAATGAACTTTTCAAATAAAAATAGCAATCTGGCGGCCGGCGAGCGGTGGTAGCCACTCGAACAAACAACAAAAGTCACAAATCACAAATGAAATTCTTTGTGCATTTGCGGGTGGCGAATTTCCCCATAAATTTAATGCATAATTGCCGAATGCCGAACAAAATAGCGTTTATCGATTGGAGTTTGCTCGGCGACATTATTGTTTCTTTAGGCAATTTAAAGAAATGGAAAACTGGTTAGCTTAAGGACCGCGCCTCAAGGATATTTGTTAAGATGTGCTATCATATAAATTAATCAAATTCTTTGAAATAATTCTGAAAGGACTCTTCTGAATAATTAAGGTATCTACAAATGGCAAAGTGTGAATTCCCTGTGCATTAAAATTTAGACGCCCACTCAACACAATTTGTTTGAAGCTCAAGTGGTTTCTGGGATTATATTAATGCAAAACAAACATTCCGCAATTAATTGCAACCCCACCGAGTGCTGAAAACCATGGAAATAGTTGGGTGAAATCGAAGGAGGAAATTGGAGGGGTAAAATTAGGGGGAACCACACGAGGAGAAACACTATGCTCGTTATGCTCCTGTCTGCGGCGAACTTAATTCCGTACCCTTGGAAACCCAGTGGGAATGCCACTCCGGTCCAATCCACTCCTCGGCCATGTGCTCTCGGTGGCATGCAAATTGAATTTGAAATTAATTAGAGGCACATAAGCGTTTAAGCCCCAAAGACACACGTGCGAGCAAAGTGGAATGGGAATGCGAATGGGTGAGGAATGGGGAATGCGAATGGGTTTCCCTCGGAGATTGTGTATACGACACGTTGTGCGGTGGACCGCAGGCCAAGTGACCGCTTGCCCCCGACTTAGATGTCACTTGCCACCGCCACACTTCTTTTGAGGACACCCCGCACCGGGGCAGCAGTTGTGGTGGAGTCCTGGAAGTCCACGCTGGCGCACTTGTGCGGATGCGGATGCGGATTTAGATTCGGCTTGAGCTTGCCGGGCTTCACCGGCGTCTGCTATCTGCTGGGTCGCCAGGCACTCGTGCTGGAGTAGCGGCAGAGCAGGACCTTCTTGAACGCCTGCCGGAACACCTTGTTGAAGATGGTGTAGAAGATGGGGTTCACCATGGAGCTGGCGTAGCCCAGCCAGGTGACCACGTCGAAGACCCAGTGGCTGATCCGCTCCTCGCACTCCGCGCACACCGTCGGCAAAAGATTCAGGACGAAGAAGGGCGACCACAGAATCACGAACGTAAAGAACACCACTCCGAGCACCTTGGTGGCCTTCTGCTCCAGCCGGATGATCCTGCCGTGCCGCGAGGAGTTCCTCGATATCACGCTCGAGTTGCGCGAGTGGTGCGACCGCACAGTCTGCTGCCTTTGCAACATGCAGGGTGAGGAAGTAGTTGTCCTGGCCTTTCCCCCGCACTCGCCCGCTCCCTGGTAGTTCATGTTCTGGTGGCTCCGCAGCGTGGCCGATCTCCTCAGCGGCGTGGACGAAGTGGAGGCGGTGGCCGTTTTCGTGGGCGTAAGCAGCAGCGAGGTCCTCACTCCGCCGAAGCTGCTGCCCCTCCTGCGGTGGCGCCCCGAGTCCCAGGTGACCACCGAGGCGGTCTTCGAGATGCTCAGCTTTCTCCTTCCGGGACAGGGCGTCCCCGGAGCAGCCAGGAAGCCACTCCCGTCGCTCTGGACCGTTAGCGAGCTGCCTTGATTTTGCGCTGAATGGGGACTCAAGGTGGAGCCACCTGTCTGCGGAGGTCCTGCTCCCGAGGATCCTCCCGTGATCCCCGCACTCACACTGGAGGTCAGCGACTTCTTGTTGCCCGCACTGCACATGAGCAGCTCCATCTCGCTGGGCGAGCTGCTCACCGCTGTCGTGGTGGTGGTCACCCGGAAGGCGGACGAGATGATCTTCACCTCCGCCGTCTTCACGCAGTTCTGGAGCGGCCTGTCCCCGAAGTAGGGACACGTGCACACGGAGGGCAGCTGTAGGTAGTCCGACTGGTGGTTCTGGCCAGCAATGTGGCACTGCTTCTGGTTCTGCGGCGGATCCAGCTCCGTGTCCGAGTGGCAGAACTTGGTCTTCGACTGCTGCTCCTTCCGAACCTCCTCCTCCTCCTCCTCGTCGTCGTCGTCGAGGCTCTCCTGTACGGTGGTGTGTCGCGGGTAGAGCGCGTTCTTCGGCAAGCTATTGTGACGCTTGTGGCGGCGCAGCGTCGACGTCAGAGTGTCCAGATCCTCGTCGCCGTCGTCGTCCTCCACACCGGAGCGTCGATCGCGTCCTGGAACCGCCGAAGATGCCCTCCGGCGCTTCTTATACGCCCGGATTCGCTGAGAAAGCTGGGAGAGAGTCCTGGAAATAAAGATAAGGATATTTTATTCAAATCCCGAATCGTTTGCAAATAAATACAATTACAATAAAATTTTTTAAAAAATTCTTCCAAGAGGGTAGTATAATTTCAGTATTCTATTCAGTATCTGAATCAAACAAAAAATGGCCTGAAACCTATAACTTTTCCTAGTGATATCCGATTTTGGATTGGTATACCTCAAAATGCTTGTGAACAACCTGCATCATTAAAATTATGTGACCCATTAGTGAAAGTGCAAGAAATATAATAACAGAAGCCAAGACGCTTTCTGAATAGCGGCCTATTCGGAAAAGTCAAATGAGATAAAATGAATAAGTTGATTTACTAATTTAATGCTCTAAAATGGAAAGAACAGAAATTTCAATTTAAGCTTTTTCTAGTGCATATATTTTTTAAAGCAATTGTTTGTATAAAATATGTCCATGTTACACCCCGCCGACTTATTGATTTAGTTCCTGTTTCCGTGTCTACTACATTTTCTCACCATTGGCGTTGTACATTTTTAATTAAAATTGCCCAGCCAATTGGCAACACTCTGCTCGAAGGAGGGGAGCCTAAAACAATGCAGGGAACACCCGCTAACAGCAATTCAACAGCAGCCAACATGCTTTGTGGTCAGTTCCTTTCCTTTCGTTCACCTGTGTTTCAGCGCGCCGAGAAGTAGGCAACATTTTTTGTGTTTGCGCTTTGTGGTCCGCCGCCTGCCAACTTTTTTTCTTAGGGTTTTTCTTTACATTTTCACGGTTCTTTACATACACAAAAAATAATAGTTTTTTTAAAAATGTTTTTTGTACTATTAATTTAATTTCTGTTTGAAGAGAATTTAGATTAACACCCATCAAAAACAGACAGCTTTCTTGTTTCTATTCTTTAGTTATAGGTGATAAGTTAGGCTTTAAGTTGTTTTAAACTTTTATAAAATAAATATATATTAAATTTTTTGTTGTGCATGGAGCTTGCTCCCTTGCTCAGCTCATTTTGCATTCATTTTAATAAAGCGCATAAATTTGCGAGCTGCCTTTGCGGTTTTGTTGTGCCGCCCGTTTGCCCTGCATGCAAATGCGCGCCAACTTTATTTGGCCAAGACAGAAGGGGGAGAAGCGGGGGGCGTGGATGGGGGCATGGTTAGCTGCTAATGAAGGCGTTAGCAGACAGGAGGCCAAGCGGAGGTGAAGGGCAGGAGTCGCAGAAGACGACTCGGGGATGAAGACGCAGGATAAGGATGTCAGCTCATTATGCATCCTTCGCGTTTTTGATTTGTTTGCACGAGACGTGCGCATAAATTGAGATGCGTTGGAGGAGGGCTAAGCAATGGGGATCGGGGGATATGGCCAACTTCTCATTATGCAAGTGAAACAAAGCCGGGCTGATGCCGAGTTTGATATTGTTTCAGCCACAAAGGAATTAAACAGCTGCCGAGCTCATCAGGACATCGCTGGAGGCCCGCTTTTCCTTTGCTTTTCCTTTGCTTTCCTTTGAAGCGAAGTGTTGGGCTGAATTCGAATCTGAGGCCAAGTTCCGCCGTCTTTGTTATTATGTGAGTGGAATCCCGAAAATTAGAATACCGCCAACATCATTTTAGGTCGACTTCACTGCATGAGACGACAAATTGTGCTGCAATTAAAAGCCACTCGACTTTGACCCCGTTTCGCTTCCTTTCCTTTCCTTTCGATTCGATTCGTCCTTTTGCCACTTTGCATCCTCTGCGGACAAAAGGAAGCCAAAGCCGAAATCCATTTTATTGATTGTGCAAATTCGTTCAACTGTCAAACAATGTGGAAGATATGAGGCACAATACCCAATATTCCACTCAGTCGGATGAAAAGCGCACAGTCACAATGATATATGATACAAACGTGCATAAGGGATTCTGTGAAAAGAGAACGTCTGAACGGCACAAAGTGTTCAGTCATTTCGCGAGTTGAGCTGCCTTTTATTGGGGCTTAAAAGCCGAGCTGGGAATTCGAGAAATTAAAGTTCAATATTTACATTAAAAGAATATAAATTGACAAACAAAATCTCTTTTACTTAAAGAGCTTGTTTTTAATTGTGTATAAAAACTAAGAGGTTTTTCTTTTGAATTAATCTTAATTAGTCTCATGATTTTTGTTATAATTTCTCCGTTTTAATAAATTTTCCAATTTAGTTTCCAGAATATTAGATGCCTAATATTTAATATGCCAGACTGCTTTGATTTCTTGTTACATTCCTGGCAGTACAAAAATATTCGCTCTCTATGATTTCAATTTTTTAATTGAATTTCTCGGCGCATCTTTTATCCCAACATAAGCCAGTCGACTAAAATTAGAAAATTAATGAAAAACACATTTAAGTTAAAGGCCTCGGTTGCCGCCCACGTCGAAATCACTTGAGCGGCTCGAATGCCAAATGAAAAGGGAGTGCCGTCTCTTCTTTGGCCCAAACCAAAGAACCAAAAAAAAAAACAGTTTGCACCGACAAAAGGGAAACGACAACGTACAAAAAAATTAATTATTACGAAAAATTTCACAACAAGTGGAAAACGGAGGCACAATAAAAGGCACAGCCGCAAAAAGGAGCTCACCGAAAAATAAACGGAAAAGGAGAAATGGAGAAAAGGAGAAAGGAGAAAGTAAACGAGTCACAAAGAGGACTCGAGGTGAGCAGTTTCCTTGGCTTTGGCTTTGGCTTTCGGTGTGGTCAGCACACTTGGCCTGGAATTGGTTGCCAAAAAGTGGGACTGCGACTTGAAAACCCGGCTGAAAATGCGCCAACCAACAAAAGGAGCAGCGAGTGACTAAAAAGGATCACTCTGGCAAAACGGTTTGTCGGTCGCAGCTGTTTGTCCTTTTGTCAGGTGAAGAGCCAGGAAAACTTTTCGCTTTTCCAGGTACTTCGCCGGATTTCTTTCACAGCACACAATTGTCTACACTCCTAGGGGGTATGGCGAATTATTCCTGAAACTTGGGACCCACGAAAGGGATACAGTTGAGTGAATTTAATTGTCTGTGATAATATTATTTGACACAATGGAAACACTGCTTGCTGCTTAAGTGGGGAGCAAATTTAATTATTTTCCAACATCACTTTACGAATGCTGTGCTGCTAAGAGGTTTAAATACTGCAAACTAAAATCTACTAGACTGAATTAAAGTCTTCTTTAAACGGAAACACCTGTAGGTGCTCACTTGGAATTTATATCACAGCTTGATGAAACCGTTTATTAAATGGCTTTTATCTGTCGCGACCATTTGTGTCCCTTGGCAATTGTGATTTCTGTAGTTTAAAGGACCTCCCCACTCACCCGTCGCTCTGCTCCCCCATTCGACTGCTGGCCAAGGAGTTCCGGGTGCTCTCCCGCTCGATTCCCAGCGTGGTGGTGGACAAGCCCAGTGCGGTGGTCCCCTGGCGATTCTTCGGCGAGGTCTGCTGGTGGTATGCGCTTCCGGGATTCGGCTGATTGTGGTGATGATGCGGCTGGTGGGACTGAGGCACGGACTGCTGGTGGGTCGCGTATCGCTGGGGACTGCTGGGGTACTGCAGCTGCAGGTGGTTCGATAGCGAAAACTCGGATTTGGTGGGCGATCCCGTGGTGGAGGAGGAGGCCACCGACTCCAGGCCGCGGGAGAGCTTCAGCATTTCGGCGCCAAACTGGTGCAGAGCCGTCATTGTCGTCGGCGTGGGCTCCTTTATGCTGCAGATGCACATATATAATTAATATGCTAATCCATACCCTCTGCGGGGTAGTTGGGGGTAACTCACCTGGAATCGGGCAGCCAGAGCTCGTGGTTGTCCAAAGTGCTGAGATCCGTGTCCGTGGAATTGGCGGAGTGGGCGTGCAGCACGGAGGAGGCGTTCCCCGGTCCCGGTTTCAGGAGGCGGCGCCAGGTGCATCGTCGTTCTGTGGAGCACGAACGGGTGTTTAAATACCTCTACAGTTTCCATTAAATGGCAGTCAGCCCAGAAGTGCGCCACGAAAAGTCACCAATGCGCTAATAAACCCGCTTCAGCACACACACCAATGAACCGAACTCACGTACACATAAAAATATGTTTGTTAAGTTATAAAGTACATAGAAAATTTTATTACAAATAAATTAACATTTTTAAGTTGTTAATATTCTCAGCCCTTTATGTTTCATCTTATAAATTTATATTTTACCCCGTATAAATACTACTCCATTAAACTAGACAAATGGTTTAAAAGGAAAATATAAATTTACGACTATTTTTCTCTCTCTGTATGTCCAACAATCTGGCAATTTCAACTACGTGCCTGACCGAAATGCGGACGCTTTACAGCAGAGATTTGGCTTAAAATAACTGCCCAAATCCATGCCACCGACAAAGCTGAATACACACTCACCCACACACACATACACACACACACATTTAGAGAAACCCTAATCCTTGCAGCTGAGGCACCAAATCCACTCAAGCGAATCGGGGCCACCGCGTTCTGCGAGGCGTCCCTAAATGCTCGCCAGGATTCGGCGGAAGGCCCTGCAGGCTGCAGTTCATGCCATTCAGCTGCAGCCACCAGTCCATTAAATATTCCCCGTCTGTATTGACTTTCGGCGTTCTCGACTCTCGCTTGTCCCCAGAAAATTACCCCCGATCCCCCTGGGGGTGCAAACCAATCGGATGAGAAACGGGGACAGTGCTGAATAAATTCTGCGGGCTGACAAAGGCATTAGGAACCACTTAGTTATGCTTAAAATAAATTGAATCTGGTCTATTGAATTGTAGAAGGATAATGGAAACGAGGGATCTTGAATGGTTTAAGCTGAAGGCTCAAGAAGTGGGTCACTTAATGGCACTGATGGATCTGAAGAAATTCAGCAATTGGTTTAAATAAGTGTCGAATTGTGGAACACAAATAGCATTATAAATTATTTTTGAAATATTCAAGCCCTTTAAAAATATCAATAAATAAAGAAGTCTAAGCCAGCTTGAAAATTTGGGGATCAATCACTTAACTTTAAAAGGTGAATGTAAAAATAAACTGATAATTAGAATTTGAGTTCACAAAATGACTTAAAAATCGCCAGCCTTAAATTGAAAAACATCCTTCACCGAGTGAACAACGAACCATCGTTAAAAAGTTGAAGCCTGAAACTTCGGTTTTAAAACTAGTTGAGTTCAAGGGAAAAGCTCTCAGAGCATTACAAGCCATTTACGTAGCTGCCTTTCGATTCATGGCAGCGTGGAAATTAGCTATCTACACACACGGCCCGGCTTTTCCTCCTCTTTTTAGGGCTGTGTTTGTGAGTGGGCGGGAGGGTGGTTCGAGTGGAGTGTTTACCCTCATCCGCTCGGTTCAATGTCGACGGCAATGTCGATTTTGTGTGCATTGCTGCGGCTTAGTCGCACTTTGGGCCCAGAAATCCCTGGGACATGGATTCCGGGAGTATCCGGCACATGTCTCTGCATTGTTTGTCTAGTGTTGTCCCCCGTTTCAACACTTTTCCAAGCCCCCTCTGCCACCCACCATCCCCTCTCTTCGCTCATCTGGTGCCATGTAAAGTTTCGAGTACAAAAAGTGCAACCGAGAATGAAATGCAAATTTTAGGCAAACTGAAAATCATATTAAGCTTCTTCTGCAGCTTTTCGTAGGCTCTTCTGGGCGGAAAGGGGGAGTGTCAGGAGGGCGTTGATTCCTTACCCAAGGCCGGAGCTTGGCCGAGCCACCCACTGGCCCATCCGGGAGTGGCTGCCGCCGTCTGCTGGCCACCGCCCAGGTTCTGCCTCTGCCGGGCCAAAAGGCGGACGGTCAGGCAATATGTCAGCAGCATCACGCCCAGCGGAATGTAGAAGCACACAATGGAGCCGACCAGCTTGTACACCGGATCCGGTATCTGGCAAGTTCCATTCACCAGCACCGAGGCGTGATTCTGGAACGAAATGGAAGATATATCAGCACAGCACTGGATTTAATTTGGTTGAGTAAGGAACACATTCGCTTGATTCCTAGGCATTTCCCTCTTCTCCTCTGATTAAAATCAAAAGGTTTACAAACCCATGAAATACGAGTACGTATGCATTTACTTCACTTTTTTTTAAAGTTACTATACTATACTAACAAAAGAAAATCTGAATTAACTGGCTTTACTTTTGCGCCTTTGTTTCGTTTTTGGTTTTAATTATTACGCTATAATTGGAAATGGGGATTAGAACACTTGCACAAAATTCTTAAGTATTTATTTCTGTCTTAAATGTTTTCGTTAGTGTTCAATATATTATACATTAAATTATATTAATAATTTCAAGGTGATTTCAAGCCAATAACATAACATAACTAACACTTACCTTCGAATACATCAAGCTCAATGGCAAACTCATGGCGATGCTCAGGAGCCACACGAAAACAATTTTGAGTGTGACTCTCCGGCGGGTTTTGTTCCGTCCAAATCTCATCGGGTAGCGCAGCGATAAATAACGGTCCACGGAGATGGTGCACAGGTGCATGATGCTCGCCGTGCAGAAGAGGACATCCAGGCAGATCCAGGTCAAGCAGTGCTCCGAGCCCAAAGGAAAGTATCCTGCAAAACGGCAAAAAAAAATAGAGATTCTCAGCCATTGTACATTCCGTTCTTGTAAATACCCGTATTCCCCGCCCGACTTATGACTGAATTAAGTGGCTGCAATACTTCCACCTATGAGTACACACGATTTATGATTTACTGTACGGTTGGCTGGCAACAATGCAAGTCCCAACTGTCGCCCGGCCATTTTTATTTAATACTCCTTCGCTTTCGCCATCCCTCCCCGCGATTCCCCCACTTCAATCGGGAGCTGCCAAATGATATTACCCGCCCCTCCCGAGGGGGCTTATGCAACATATTTCAGGCCAACTGGCCCACATACGAGTATGAGTATGAGCGGCTATTCCCGATGCTGTGGCCATCGTTTTGCACAGCTGTTGGACGTCATAACTCAGCGCGGCACCCTCGCCCTGTTCCCATAAAAGTACAATTGCTCGGGCACTGAGGGAAATCGGAATATAGTTGAGAATTTGTGAACTACTTTTAAGAAATGTTTATTAATATTTTTTTAATTGAAAAGAGTTTGTGTATAAAAAAGTGTTTGTATAACAATAATGATTTCTATTAAATACACTTTCGATTTAATCACAGATAGCTTAAAAAAGTTTTCAATAATGTTCACATATTTTATGGTAGTGTAGTATTTCCTCTCCGGTTTTTTTCCCTGTGCAAATAGGTTTGGTGGTCGGGCGGTCGGAGGTTGGGCATCCGGGATATTTGGTGAGTGATACTCGTGTTTACCCTGTTGTTGCGTGTGCCTTGAGATTCGGGCGTGGGATTTGTGTCCAGAATCTGGTCGAACATGAACTCGTATAGCCGCTGGGAAAAGGAATTTCTTAACGAGCACACCGAACACAAAATGAGATATCTTCGAGACGAAGATGGATCGATAAGAGCATAAAGCGTAAACGAAGTTATTGCTCAAGTATCATTGAAGTTGCTTCAAATATTTAAATAAAGATTACTTCAGAAAACATTTAACTTAACTAAAATAGCCATTTACTTTTGTACAATATTTCCTTGCAACCTTTTTTAGATCAAATTTAAAGCCGGGTCGAGCCGAAGGACTTAAAATATTTCCTTTTAACAAATTGACCCAATGACCTATCCATTTCAGCCAATTTCCCAATGCCACTTTACTTCAAATGAAAGGCCCTAAAGGAACGGGAATCTGTTGCATGCGATGGGTTTTTTTTTTCGGAGCAACCATAAGGATTTGTTTATGGCCAGGCAATATTTTCCAGTCCCTGATTTCGCGCCCATCAAGCGCTCAAATTGCAATAATGCCGAGACCCCGAGTCCGAAGCGAAAACGTTACAAATGACACGGTCATTGGTTCCGTCTGGAAGTAGGCGCGTCCCAGCCCATTTGGGCCGTAAGTAAAGTGTCAATAAGATCAATTTGGGGAGCAGACGGTAGTTGGGCCTTTAAAACGAAGAAAAACGAAATTTGTTTAAGCCGAAATCTCTGGAAGCCAACAGGGAAACAGGGAGAGCGTGTTAAATTGAATAAAACCTGGCGCTGGCCGTCCAGAAAAAGGGAAACTTTTCCGACATTTCTCTCCAGGAAATCGGCAAACGGAACCCGAGATTGGGGTCTGTCTGGGATGGGTTTTGTGGAACCTCAGTGCCCCGGTTCCTTGCTTCTCCTTTGAGGGGCAGGACAATGCTTTTATTTGTGTTTCTGTCTTTCTGTTTTTTTTTTGTATTTTTGTGAGGCCGCTTTTCTTGGCGAAAGCATTTCAACTTACAAATGCGAAACAAATTTCAAACAAAAGCGCAAAACTTTCCCGTTTTCCAGTTCCGCCGCCAAAGTCAGGGTAAATAAATTTTTAGCCGATTTCTTTTGTGTGTGAATGCCGCTTTGCATGGGGCCAAAGTGGGGCCACAATGGGGCGCAAGGGCTCCTCATAAAACTAAACAGAAACACAAATAGCTGACGAAGCTGATGACGAGCAAAGTTGGCAGGAAAATGACTTGGTAAATGAGTTGAAACTTATTTAATTTGTTGTAAGTTTAAGTGGATATAAGGGCGACGCCAGGCGGAATGGCAATGGGGGGAAATAGGGTCCAGCTAATGATTCGGTTGTTTGCCAAATTGAGTGAATGACAAAACAACGCCGAAACAACTGTGGAAAAACTGTGCATACAGAATTGAATGGAAGATATATATGTGTAGTTTCGTTCATGGGAACATAAGCCTTTGTCCGAACTGTTATAACCAATATTTGTATTTTTTCCGCGTTGCCAAACCAAGGCAAACAATTCCCGCACAGGAGAACGGAATCCATACGAAAAATATCGAAAAAAAGTCGGGTGAAAATATGATGATTTATGAATGGACTGCTGCGTGTTCCCACATGTGTGGCTTTGTGTGCACCGTCCTTTGTCAGACTTCCCTACTCCGGTTTCTGTGGCGGCATCGATTTCAATTTTAGTTTCGCCTTCCTCAAACAGCATCCTTCATCACTGGGATACAGTTCCCCTGAAAACTGTTTGCCCAGCAAACGAGCTTAATAGCAAGGAAGTGACTGGCCAAAAGGGTTTGGGTTGTTTTTCTCGGTTAGCCGATTGCGTTAAGTCCATTTGTGGATTTCGCAATGGAGAAGAGATTAGGGAAGTTTAATGCCCCCAGAAATTATGAGTTCATCTGGGGCAAATTAAACGCGATAATTGTGAGTCACTGTCTCGACTAATTAGGTAGTTAAAAGTTTGATTTAAACAGAATCTTGTAAGTCCATTTAGTCGTATTATAGAAAACTTGTATTCTTATTTGAGACATGACTTGTGAATTGTATTTACAATGCTTTTTTGTCAACTTTTTAATGATGTTGTATGCTAAACTTTTTCTTTGTATCTTCATCTCTTTAAATTGGTTGAATTCGAGGAAAATCCTTTTAAAATATTTGGCAAATAAGCAAACAAAATAAACATCAGCATAAATCCCGAGGCAATCAGAAATAAAATATCAAATACCTGACGACAAATAAAACTCACGCATACTTGAACGAACGCACACACACACGCACACAACCTAAATGATTTGTGTCAATAAAAAGGGCGAGCGATAATAAAATGCAAATATGTGAGCCGAGAAAAAAGCATTGAGCCAAAGCTCGAAAATTGCTGTGATTATAAAATAAGCCTGCCCCAACTCGCTGCTGTTGCTCTGCCGCACATTCCACGGAGGGGGGCAACCAGAAAAAATAACAATTTCAATAACAAATCACAGAAATATGAGTGGAGTGGCGTGGAGCAAATTGGACGCGGAGTTGGGGCCAAGGGGCGAATCTCATTCCCTTCCTTTTATTTTTCTGCCTCTGGCAGATGACAGCGACAGCCACTTACAACAGCGATAACGGCCCAGCAACAACAGCAACAGTGATAAGAAATAATAAGGAGGGAGGCCTGTGAAGGATATCATCTCGTCTTAAAAAATATCCCATTTCGTATTGAAACCCTCCTTGGAAACGAATATTTTGGAAAGAGCTTTACTGCAATGTACTCCTGGTAGATAAAAATGTATTTCCTTTTTTTGTATTTTAAAATAACAAGAGAGAACACCTTGTTTATTTTCTACACCTCAATATGTTTACCCTTGGTAGATTTTCATTACAACTCTCTGGCAATTAACTTTTCCGCAACTTCCGCTACTGCAGAATAATTAATGGTTTAAAGAGTGTGTACACGCTGGCTGGCAGGGCGCACCTTAAAGCTGATCCTTAATTGCCCGATTTGCCAGACATTTGATGCTCGGTTTATGACCCATCATGTGTGCGTGGGCGCTGCGATTTGGGGGGCGTGGCAGTCGCCCGCGGCGCTTGTTGACACGTTGTCACCTCGGCTGTCATCCAAATTTATGGGGAGCATCGGAAGGAGGCCAGAGATGACGGTTGTTAGCCCGCCTGGGATTTCACGGCTCCCTTTTTATTTCATTTCGCTGACTGACAACAGTTTTTTGACTCTGATCCCCCTTCGCCCTTTAAACACATATCATTTTCATTTGCATTTCGCGCGTCCCGTCGACACATTTGCATGGTCATTCATATGTTTATTCATATGGATGTGTTTAGTGTGTGTCCTTGTTCATGTGATTCAATCTCGGCTCTCACGCGAAGTATTTCGGGGTTGCTTCCTTTTTTTGACCAGCTTTATGACTGGGCAACGAAGGATATGTTCAACATATCATTTAAAACCTTCCCATACTTAATGGTAAATACCTTTAAGATTTAATCAACATCTGTTTTTGGTTAGGGCTTAAAATCCAGCTTATATGGTGACCAGCCACTCCGTTTGTGATTTTAATGCATGTACAAAATTCGAATAATGTCGGAAGCATGAAGCCACTGTTTGCTGATTTCAGTTGTTTCTGCTGGTTGTAACCGATGTTGCGAACTTTCGTTGTTTGGGGCTTTGTTTCTGTAACTTTTTTGTTATGCGGTCAAATATTTGTGTTGACAGCACGCAAAAACATTACCGCCGAGCGAAAAATCCGCAAAGGGATTTTCCATACATGTGCAAGTTTTTCTTTAATCAAAATGTTGTTGCCGCTGCTGTCGCGCTAAAAGAGCTGGGATTTCATCCCTGGACATATGATATGAAAAAATATTTACAATAAATACGAGGCTTAAATAACGGCAGCAAATATATTTGCACATGAATCTTTTTAAAGGCTTTGGTATTCTGTTTTATCTCTTTATTGGTTTAGTTTAAAGCCAGCTGAGGAATGCCTATCATACTTCCGATTTAATTGCAAGATATTGTTGTCGAAATCTGCATTTTCATGCAGGATTTACACCTGTATCTCCTCATTTTGAAGAGCTTTTGTGTGGGATTAGAATGCATGGCATAATCCCTGCCGCAAGATAAAATTGAGGGACCACAGGACTCGCTTGTGGGAAGCTATTAACATGCATATGATAGACACTTCCGCACAACTTGCTGGCCAGGACACTTAGGAATCCGGAAGGCAAGGAACTCAATGCGGTGACTACGTGC